ACAACCCAAGAACACTTTTCGAAAACCTCGTCTCTAGGTTAGCCCGATTATCGGACAACCTAAGGACATTGTAACTACCCATAGAAAACGCGAAAGCAAGAGGGTCAAAAAAACCATCGCGTCGCTCCGACCGCCCCTTTTGGGAGGCGGCGACAATGGCCTCAGCTTCCTGTGAACTTGTTTGGCTCAAGCAATTGCTTAGAGAGTTATAATTTGGAGATGTCACTCAAATGTCACTTGTGTGTGACAATCAGGCTGCTCTTCATATTAGCTCTAATCCTGTCTTTCATGAGAGGACCAAATACATTGAGATTGACTGTCATTTCATTCGAGAAAAGATTATGTCTAGAGACATCAAGACTGAGTTTGTTAACTCAAGTGATCAATTAGCAGATATTTTTACTAAATCTTTACGGGGGCCTAGAATTGATTATATTTGTAACAAGCTTGACACATACGATTTGTATGCTCCAACTTGAGGGGGAGTGTTAGATATTGTTTAGATATTATTTGATATTGTTAGATATTGTTAACAACAATATCAAACAATATCTTTTGTTTATTTTGTTACTTTCAGTTACTCTTTTAGTTGTATCTCTCTATTATAAATAGATTACCCTATGTGTGATTTATACACAAGGGAGATTAATCTCAAACTCTATTTCTTCTATATTCATCAGCTCTGAATTTCTCAGAGTCGTGTTGTTGAAGAATGGAGTTATCGTTGATGGATGTAAGGAAATCTTGGGAATGTTCGAAATTTTGGATCAATGACCCTCTAAAAGCAAATGAGACACCACCAACGAAGTAGGAAATTAATACCTGGGTAGAGTAAATCTTTTGAGATTCTTCTTATGCACCAAAAAAAGGTGCAAAAGTTTTTTCGTTTAGTTCCACCAACTGAGTAGTTATGGGTTGGATGGCGGTTTGGGAGGATGCAGAGGATGAAGCCATTTGAAGATTAGGATATAAAAAATCAGTTTATGAAGTGAGAAAGTGAGTAAGGATAAGAAAGATGAATAGTTTGGTTGTTTTAAAAGAAAATATGTTTTCCAAGGAAGTTTAATGGTAATGGGCTTGGTGTAAGCCCATATCCAAATAAATCAAATATTTTGAGATAGAAATTGGACCAATGACGGATGAAGGAGTGATAGTACAGACAGTCGCATTTATTACGAGAATTTTGCATTTATGAGGGGAGTGAGAGTAATAATGAAAACATGAGATAAGAAAACAACTTTTTGATAAGGATAAAATATTTTAAGTTGGTATCGAAAATAAGAGAATACATGTATTTATCAAATATTCATTAAAGTATTCTCTTAGGGACATTTTGTTAAGTCTAAAAATTACAAAAAGATCGAAAGAATAAATCGAGTCTAATTAGACATCAAATGGTTGGAAAGAGTGAAGACAGAAATCTAGAATAGCGTATTGAGGTTGAAGAGTAGTTAGAATTGAGTTTTTTTAGAAAAGACAAAATATCGGCAAATTGAGAATCAAGAAATTAAAAGAGAAGAACATCAAAAAATTAGGAATCGAAGATCTAAAGAGTAAAATGAACATAAATATATGGAGAGAAAGTTATATGGAAGGATTTTTTTACTAGTGCATCGAAAGTTTGTTGAAAGTAGTTAAGAAACAAGTTCCACATAATGTGAAAGTTATGAGTGAATGTGTATCAACAAGGTGAAACAGTTACAAGAGAATAACCATTTGACATATTTTAATTTGAAATTTTTATTTTGTTATTTTTATGGTTGTTTTTGCAATTTTTTTACTAAAATAATATTATTATATTATATATATACGTAATGTAACCTCTGATCAAATTATTTACTCAACTAAACCTCTCATGAAATTATTTACTTAACTCGAACCTCTTTTATCTGTTATACTTGGGATTTGGTTTCTCGTAAACCAAATTCCAACATTAAACTTACCACTTTTTTTTAAATAAAATATATAATTAAAAATAATAAAATTAATACTAAAAATAATATTTAAATAATATTTATATAAAAAATAATAAAAATAATATTTTATTTAAATATATATTAAATTATTTAAATATATTTAAATAATTATTAAAAATATTAAATAATATTTTTTTATTATTTTTTTTTATATTTTTTTAATTTTTGAATAGGAAATTTAAAATTTATATATTTTTTTATTATATGAATTATTTAAGTTATAATTTTAGAAAAAAATTGATAAATTTAATATATAAAATATTAAAAGTAAAATTAAAAATAAGTTATTAGTAGCAAAATAAAAATTATAGAACATGATATTAAAGAAAAATAATAAAGGTAGAAAGATTTTTATAGAGTGAAAATAATAGAGGTTTATGAAGAAGAAAATCTTCCACAAATTTCTCCTCGAAATTCAAGAACAACCACACCGACGAAATCCAAAACGTAATAGACGTCGTCCTTGTTGTAGAACTGGACACCACTTTTGAGATTAAAATTATCTTAACATTATTGTCAATAATTTTATTTTTCAATTTTTATTATCAATGATTATGTTATTTTTTATATTATACATTAAATTCTGTTAATTTTTATTATTTTTTATTTTTAAGTTTATTTTATATTAATAATAATAATTTGTAACTAATTAAATAATATTTTTACTTTATTATTTTAAAAAAAAAATTAGCATGAATTTTTTAATAAAATATTTATAATTTATCAAATAAAAACTATTACATAAATTTTTATAATATAATATTTAATTTTTTAATATATTACCTAAATTAAATTTTTATTTATTATATTTTTTTCTAAAATTATAACTTAAATAATTCATATAATAAAAAAATATATAAATTTTAAATTTCCTATTCAAAAATAAAATAATATATATAAAAAATATAATACAAAATTATTATTTAATATTTTTAATAATTATTTAAATATATTTAAATAATTTAATATATATTTAAATAATATATTATTTTTTATATAAATATTATTTAATTTTAAAATTAAAATTTTATTTTTAATATTAAATTTATTATTTTTAATTATATATATTTTTTAATTTTTTTATTTAGAAAAAAAAGTTATAAGTTTAAAGTTGGAATTCAGTTTACGTAAACCTAATTCTAAGTACAACAAGTAAAAGAGGTTCAGTTTTGCTATTACAAAAAACAATATATATATAGAGAGAGGATAAAATAAAGGTAAAAAAATGGTCATTGTCAAATTGTACAATTTATAATATGAAAAATATTGTAAATTCGAAACAAACATTTTCAATGGAGTTGTTTACAATTTGGATTATCAATTTAGTTGATTTTTTTTTATTAATTTTTTTTATTAATTTTTGTTTTATCCTTAATAATTGGTTATATTTATCTTTATATTATTTAATTTCTTGCATATTTATTTTTCAGAAATTTACTTTCACAATTCTTTATTATTTTTTTAAATTATTTTAAATATTTCATTTAGTATTAAATATAAACTTTGAATACAAACAATCTGAAATCCCCTATATCAAACTTTGAGTAAAAAAAAAAAAAAAAAAACTCACGTAGTATTTAAGTGCCTACGTTATATTAATACGTAACTTGGGTTGCATTGGAAAAGAAACGAACAGAAGATAAGAGAAGAGAAGGATACGTTGGTAAATTGGAGGTAGAAAGGACACTGAGGAATGAACTTTTGGTAATGATTAACGCGTTAAGCCAGCTGGGTAGAGAAGGTGAAAAATGAGAAGGAATTAATTTACATGATTTTGGTTGTGTGCAGAAAAGGAACTATTTACTGTCCCATTCTTCCCATCTTGTACCCCCATAGTTGCAGGATTCAGGCAGGCCATTTTCCCATTCTTCCCATTACATTACATTACATTCCTGTTCCATCAATAACAATGACATTAAAACTTAGTATCTTTCGCACTTGTTTCAACATACATATCCTTGCATTAGAAATCAAGAGATTTACTCTTAAAAAATCATTAAAAACTAATATGGTGCATGGTTAAAACTAAAAAAAACTAGAAAAAATATTATTAAACATTTATATATTTTTCTTCCAAATGGCACTGAAAAGTTATTTTCTTTAAACTAGGAAAAAATAATAAGGAATATTACACAACAATATATCCCTGTATAAATGATTTTTAATTTTTTCCCTTTTTTTTAATTTTTATTTTTCACTTAAGGAGTGACCTATATTGTTGATGAGTTTAGTAATAAATGATGAATAATATGGAAAAAAGTTTTACGGGGAAGTTTTTTCTTATCTACTTAGAATATTACATTTTTTTATTTCTTAGTACGACGAAAGTTAAAGATAAGCTCAAGTTCCAATAATGTTAACAATTTGGCTCTTCATTCCATTCAATTTACTAGTTTTCTTTTCAGACAAGAAAAGAGAAAAGAAAAAAAAAAATTGGTTTTTATTCCTCCCTAACTTTAATTTGTTAGTTCAGTGTACTGGTTCCGTTACATTTCATTCCTTAAAACCCCACACTGAGTTTCAACCATGCTTATCCGGTTTTGCTGCAGAATATCCTCATCTAGTTAACTCACGTGCTTTACCAGTAAGCATCGTGCTAAAAGCAACCGAGCCAGCCACAAACACCATTTTAACGTAACCATCGGGTTTGTTTGAGTAACAATAAGTTGGAGTTATTTCTCTAAATTCAACATCTTTTAATGTTAATTCATAGTGATAATCTCAAATGTATATCAGGTCCACAAAATGTTCTTTCACACGCTTTCTACTTATTAACTTGTTCACGTTTTCTAGAGATGAAAAAGCTTAAAAAGTGATCTCACCGCGCGCAATTCCTGTTCTTACTTTTTTTCAGAAGAAAATTTCAGTTACACTCATCGAAACACACTAGCTGACAGATAACATGTATGGAAATTGAGTACAACACACACTAAAACCCCGGTTGCCATAAAGACGATGAAAATGGAAAACGGTGGGTGCAAGAGCAACCAAAACCGTGAGTAAAGGCACGCCAGCACATAATTAATGGGGTTCGTTTGGTTTTTGGAGCAAACGTTCCTGAATGTCCTTCGCCACCAGACCTCTATATATTGTGCAGAAGAAGCTTCATTTTTCACTCATCTTTTGTTGAGAATTCTAATGAGGAACATGGGTGTGTGGGAACATGCAAGCGCGTCATCAGCAGCAGCAGCAATGCTCTTAATGCTGCTATGCTTGAATGAGATTACAGAAGTAATCTCACAGAGGGTACCTGCTTTGTTCGTTTTTGGAGATTCATTGGTTGAAGTTGGCAACAATAACTTCCTAAACACCGTGGCAAGAGCAAATTACTTTCCTTACGGCATCGACTTCGGCAGAAGAGCTACTGGTAGATTTTCTAATGGAAGATCCCTCATAGACTTCATTGGTAATGACTGATCTTACAATCACTATCATATATACATCTACATCATTAATATTGAGCTAGCTTACCCATTTTTCCCCCCTCTAACTCTTAGTTTTTTACTTCTCAGGAGACATGCTGGGTGTTCCTTCTCCTCCACCTTTTGCAGACCCCTCCACTGTTGGATCCAGAATAGTCAATGGTGTGAATTATGCCTCAGCTGCTGCCGGGATTCTTGATGAGTCAGGGAGAAACTATGTACTTTACCACACTTTTCTGGATAACTCTCTAGCTTTTACTCATGCTTTGATCTACATCATATATCAATAGAACTTCTTTAATATGTAACAAAGATAAAAGTCCTACTTCATTTTGCAATCTTTTGATTTATGTATACACGGTGTCTAAAGGCTGCCTATGATGATGCTGATGCAGGGTGATCGGTTTAGCATGAACCGGCAAGTCCTGAACTTCGAGAACACGTTGAATCAGTATAGGACAATGATGAATGCAACTGCAATGAACCAATTCTTAGCCAAGTCCATAGCAGTTGTGGTGACCGGAAGCAATGACTACATCAACAACTACCTTATGCCTGGCTTATACAGCTCCAGTTCTAGTTATACTGCCCAGCAGTTTGGCAATCTTCTTGTCAATAGTTTGGGGCGACAAATTTTGGTAAATTGAGTTGAATTTCTCTCTTATCTCTTATAATGCTGAATTATTAGTCAATTCTTAACAACATATTAATTTCCCCTTGAAGAGGTTGGTTACTTTTGGATGAAGGTAGTGAATTAATGAATTTGAAAAATGTTGCATGTATTGGTTCTATGCAGACACTTCAAAGTTTGGGGTTAAGGAAGTTCTTCCTAGCAGGAATTGCGCCACTGGGTTGCATCCCTAATATTCGAGCGAGCGGTTTAGCCCCAGCAGGAAGGTGCGTGGACTCGATTAATCAGATGGTTGGACCCTTCAACGAGGGGCTTAGATCAATGGTGGACCAACTCAACAGAGATCATCCTGATTCCACGTTTGTGTACGCAAACACTTACCATGTCTTGGGCGATATCCTAAACAACCCTGCAGCATACTGTAAGGAATATATATACACACAGTAATCCATTCTGAAGCAATAAATTAATTTCAAAGTTGATAAAATGTGATGGTTATTGTTTTGCAGCGTTTACTGTTGTGGATCAAGCTTGCTGTGGGCTAGGAAGGAACAGAGGTCAAATAACATGTCTCCCATTTCAACTTCCATGTCTAAACAGAAAGCAGACTGTGTTTTGGGATGCCTTCCACCCAACTGAATCAGCACTTTATGTGATTGCTTGGAGAGCTGTCAATGGACCTTCTGATGATAGTTATCCTATTAATCTCAAACAAATGGCTCTCATGTGATTCACTTATCATGTATGCTTCTTCCATTTGTGCAAATAAAAATACATTCAATGTACCAAAACTCAAGTCAAATTCTACATTTTTCTTCCATTTCAATATTATAATTACTTTTGGGACTTTCCATACAAGAGGTTGGTCAATTGGTAGTAAAAATATTAGGACTTGCAAAAGTTTTCTAACTAAAATCCAGTAATTATTATAAATGAAAAATATCTCCATCACTGGGTCGTCTCCTAATCTCACTCTTTAACTACATATTTAAAAGATCATTTCACCATACATACTCTGTTATATGTAATTTGATATTTAATAAAAAAAACTTGAAAACTAATATAAAAGGGTGTCACTCTAGTCAAAAGATGACTGCACAATTAGTTTGTCTTCTAACTAAAACTTATCTCAAAGTTTGAAAAAGACCTAACAAACCTCCAAACTCTACCTCTACTTTACAGTTCAGTTGGATTTTAACCCAGTTAATGTTCAAATCAGCGAGTTGTTCATAGCTTCAGGGCCTCAACAGGTTGAACACTGCATCGGGGCTGCAAAGGTTACTAAAATATTAAATTTAACTTATTTTTCTAATTAATTTTAAATTATACAAAATGTCTCAATCTATTTTGAGTTGCTAGTTTAAAATTATACAAAATTGAACAGATTGATGAATGAAATCATTTATCTCTTTCTAAAACTAAAAAACTAAAAAAAAAAGTCCAATATAATACTAATTCACAATAATAAACAAAAAAAAAAATCCAAAATACGTAAAGCGAGAGAAAAAAAAACTAAAGTAAATATCAAATGGTGTAGCTCAGATGGATTTAACTTCTAGAAGAAAAGAAAATGATTCTATTTATTTTTTAGAAGAATAATAATATACCTACATTTTTTTATTTTAAATATTTAATCATTTATTATTTGATTTGTTTGTATATAATTTTTCATTTAAGAATATCTCAGTTTCACATAAAGTATTTTGAAATAATTTTTTAAACTATATAAAATACTTAAAAAACGTGTCAGTTGGGTTCTCAAACAAATAGTATTTACCAAAAACATGGTTCCCGCTGTGCAATCATAGGAAAATCGAGAAAACCAAAAATTTGAAAATTAAAAAAACTTTTTTATTGTTTATTAGAAATTCACTAATTCCAATAAGTAAAGTAAAATAATCTAGTGTGAATTTGAACCCGAAGTTACAGAAAATTGTTCACGGGAAGGGAGGGACGGTGGAGAGTAGTTTAGAGGATGATGGCATCAACATTTCTGAAATTGAAAAATTTGAGCAGAGACGGAGCATTGAGGTGTCGGAAATGGAATCGGCAATATTCGAAATCGAGCTATGCTGCAGCAGCATCAGAGAGTGAGAAAATGGAAGAAGAAGAGGCTCCCTCTTCTGGAATCTCTAGACCGCTCTCTGAAATACTCAAAGAGCTCAACAAGAAAGTCCCTGACTCTCTCGTTAAAACCCGCCTCGAGAAAGATGGATTCCCTGTCAGATACATTCCCTGGTTCGTCTTATTTTCTAACCCTAACCTTACTCTCTGTTTTCTTCGCTTCATTCCCAACCATATTCAATTTATTGCTTTTTTCACAGGCATCTTGTCAACCGCATTTTGAACTTACACGCTCCTGGTATCACATAATATAACCCTTTTTTGCTTTTTCTTTCTTTCTTTTGTGATGTTTAATCATTTGATATCTTCTTAATGCAATGCTAGAGTGGTCTGGTGAGGTTCGGAATATCTCCTATTCCGCTGATGCCAAGTCTGTCTCCGTCGTCTACCGAGTTACCCTTTATGGGACTGATGCTGAGGTACCTACTTACCACTTCACACTCTACAAAGAAATTCATTATTCAATTGTCTACATTTCTTTTCCAAAACAATATTATAACTAACAACAATCAAAAAACCCCTTATGATGTTTTTTGTGGAGTGGACGGAGAAAGAGTTGATTTTTGTGTTTGGAATAGGGAGAGAAGAGAAGAAATAATCTGTGGATCTACTGCACTATTTCTCACATATTTCTATTCATCTCTTTTATTACTTTCTCTCAAATTACACAACTTTCAAAATACCTTTTCTCTATTTCTCGCTTACATGTACTCTGTTAAACAACTAAACATTTGATTTTATTTCTTACCCATTTCTCTGTTCTCAACTTATTTCTTCTTGATTTTCATTCCCTCTATTTCTTTCCTCAAAATCAAACACAGTATTAGTGATTTTATCTCTGCAGCTAAACTGAACTGACGAGGCTTGTTCTAATTTTCATTCTGCATTGAAAACGCAACTGAATGAACCAATCTACAAATTTAGCTTCGCCCAACCAAATTTAACCTTTCCTATTTCTCATGAACCATCTGAGCTAGTTCTGGGGTTGGATGTTCTAAACCTGTTCAACAACCAGTTTATCAAGAACCGAATCGGTTAATAACAATAAGAACATCATTGAAAACTGGTTCTTCCCCGGAGTGGAATGTGTAAAGGTCTTATGGGCAATTAAGCATCAATAGAGCCTCAATGGCACAGAGCACTTAGATGAACATCATTGTTGATTTTAAGTTTTCTCTTTCTTATTGTCTCTGATTGTATTTGAACATATTGAAATAATGTAGTTACTGTCATTATGTCAAAATTCAAAACTCTTACTCACTCACAACTCAAACAGAGTATAGAGGGAACTCACTCACAATTCATATAGAAAGAATATAGAGGAAAACTCAACTGACTGTATTTCATTTCTGCTTTCCACAATATACAATAGGTCTATTTATATTTCTAACTTCCAGCTAATTACAAAATTATTTATTTTTAATAGCTTCTAATATGTATTATTACAATTTCCCCCCCTTAAAACAAGGACTTGACCTCAAGTCCTTTCAATTACTCTCCACTCAAAATCAGGGAACTGCATTTGTAAATCATGTAACTCTCTCCAAGTTGCATCTTCAGGATTTGTTTCCTCCCATTGCACAAGTACTTCAGTAATAGTTTGATTGTGCTTCTGTTTCATTCTTCTATCCAATATAGCAAACGGTTTAGGTTGCAAATCTCCATCTTCATCAAACTGTGGAAGCTGAACAGTAACTGTGTGATTTCCATGATGTCTCTTTAATAGTGACACATGGAAGACATTGTGAATCTTAGAGTCAACTGGAAGTTCCAATTTATATGCCACCTTTCCAATTCTTTCAATCACCTTGTAAGGCCCATAATATCTAGCTGATAACTTGTGAAAAGATGAGTTTGCCAACGAATGCTGCTTGTATGGTTGTATTTTCAAATAGACCATGTCTCCACAGTTAAATTCTCTATCAAGCCTCCCTTTATTTGCATACAACTTCATTCTCTCCTGTGCCTTGCGAAGATTCTCCTGTAATAATTTGCCAATTTGTTCTCTGGTCTTCACCACATAGTTAACAGCTTCCACCACATTTTCGCTACTGTTCACTAAATTAGGTAATATAGGTTTATAACCATATAGTGCCTCAAAAGGTGTCATCTGAGTTGCAGTATGAAACTTAGTATTGTACCAAAGTTCTGCCATTGCTAAGTGGTTGATCCATTGTTTAGGCATGTCACCAGTAGCACACCTTAAGTAAGCTTCCAAAGTTTTATTGAGATTTTCAGTCTGTCCATCAGTTTGTGGATGGAAAGCTGTGGACTTCAGCAGCTGCACCCCGTGTGCTTTCATCAACGCAGCCCAAAAATTACTCATAAATATTGGGTCCCTATCAGAAATTATTTCCTCTGGCCACCCATGATACCTCACCACATTATTCATGAATAAATTGGCAACTTTAGATGCTGTAAAAGGATGACCTAAAGGCATGAAATGAGCATATTTAGTTAGCCTATCAATGACTACTAATATAATACTCATCCCATTAGACTTAGGCAAGCCGGTAATAAAGTCCATAGAAATTGACTTCCATGCCCTAAGAGGAATAGGTAATGGTTGTAAAAGTCCTGCTGGTAATTGATTTATTGGTTTGAACCTTTGACATGTCTCACACTCCTTAATCCAATTCTTAACTTCTCGCTGTAAACCCTTCCAGTAAAAATGCTCCTTAATTCTTTTATATGTTAAATCAGAACCTGAGTGACCTCCTATTGCTGAATTATGAAAAAAACTGAGAATCCTCGTTTTGAGGTTTGGCTGACATCCAACCACCACTTTTCCCTTTCTTCTCAATATGTCCTTTTCAAAAGTATAGTGCTTTAAAGGATGTTGAACTAACCTCAATTTATCAACTAACTTTTGTAATTTTGTATCATCTTTCCAAGAGTGAATAGCTTCTGTCATTAACTCTGTAGATAAGTGCAATATAGCAGCTAGACTTCCTTGCATCTCCACTCTAGACAATGCATCAGCTACTTGATTATCTTTTCCCTTTTTGTATTCAATACTGAAATCAAGACCCATTAACTTCTGTAATCCCCAATTTTGCATCAAAGTTGTAGGTGGCTGTAACAATAATTGTTGTAGCGCTTTCTGATCAGTTTTAATAATGAAATGTTTTCCCCACAAATAGTGTTGCCAATTTTTTATTGCAAATAACACTGCATAAAATTCCTTTTCATGAGCGGATAACAACTTGTACTTTGGTCCCATAGCCTTACTTATATAAGCAATCAGATGATCCTCTTGGAGGAGAACTGCACCAATACCTCCCCCAGATGCATCTGTCTCAATTGTAAATGATTTTTGAAAGTCAGGTAACCTCAAGACTGGCTTAGAAACTAATGAATTCTTGAGCTGTTGAAATGTTGTTTCAGTATGTGGAGTCCAGTTGAATTTCGAGTCTTTTTTTAACAACTCTGTTAAAGGTGCTGCAATGTTCCCATAATTCAAGATAAATCTTCTATAATATCCCGAAAGACCTAAAAACCCTCTGAGTTCCTTGACATTAGTTGGGGTAGGCCATTGTTGAATTGCAGAGACTTTTTCTTGGTCCGGTTGAACTCCATTCATAGTTATCACATGTCCCAAGTATTCAATTGTCTTCCTCCCAAAGCTACATTTCTTAAAATTCACGGCCAAATTATTCTCCTCCAAAATCTGCAATGTAATTGTTAAACACTTTAAATGATCTGGCCAAGTCCATGTATAAACTAATATATCATCAAAAAACACCAATATAAACTTCCGTAAATATTTCCTGAATATATCATTCATGAGGGACTGAAAGGTTGCTGGAGCATTGCATAAACCAAAAGGAAGTACAACCCATTCATAATGCCCATTATGTGTTCTAAATGCAGTCTTGCAAATATCTTCTTCAGCCATTCTAATTTGATGGTATCCACTTTTGAGATCCAACTTTGAAAAATAACAAGCTCCATTTAACTCATCTAGAAGATCTTCGATAAGTGGTATAGGAAATTTATTCTTGATGGTGATAGCATTTAACTTCCTAAAGTCAGTACAACATCTCCACGAGCCATCCTTCTTTTTGACCAACACTAGAGGAGATGCATAAGAACTATTGCTTTCTCTGATAAAACTAGTTGAAAGTAACTGTTGTACTTGTTTCTCAATTTCCTCTTTCTGTACATGAGGATATCTATAGGGCTTGGAAAATACAGGAGTGTTAGTTGTCAATTGAATTTTGTGATCACACTTCCTGGTAGTTGGAAGTTGGGTTGGTTCGACAAATTGATTTTGAAAGTTGTCCAAGACAACCTGTAATTGTTCAGATTGGTCTTCTGTTAATTCTCCTAGATCAACCTTGTCAGTCACAGCTAATAAATTTGAATCTTGTATAACAAGCGCCCAACATGTGCCTTGTAACAATCTCAATTTCCCAGTCCATTCTTGCAATTCCATAAAGGATTGTTCTCCTTGAAGAGTCACAACTTGATCTTGATGAGTAAATTTCATGGTAAGATTATTGCAATTCCAGTGAATTTCTCCCAATGTCTTGAACCATTGCATGCCTAAGATCACCCCAAAAGTGTTGCTTGGCAAAACCAGAAAATCTGCTGTAAAGTTATGATCATTGAATTTCCAATTTACTGCCTCACATTTCCTAGTGATTAAAATCTTCTTATCCGATGCTACCATCACAGGAAAATCTTTGATGAACTGAGTTTTTAAACCAAGAAGTTTGACCCATTTCTCCCCAATAAAATTATGGGTACTTCCAGTGTCCATTAGAAAAGGCACCATCTGTTTCTTGATTAATCCTCTTAACTGTAAAGTACTTCCTCCCGCTACTCCTTGTAGGGCATTAAGTGAAATATGCACATCGTGATCTTGAACCAATGCTAAGCTACTGTTGATTAACTCTTGCTCTTCATCACCACATCGATCAATATCATCATCATCATCTAATTCCTCTTGAGCACAAAAAATGGCATTAAGCTTACCCCAAACCTTACATTTGGACCTATGATTCTTGTCCCATTTTTCACTGCAGAATCGACACAATCCTCTCGCTATCCTTTCACTGATTTCCTTTCTTGATGCATTCTTGGAATAATTTGTTGTAGGAATAGTATTGGAATCTTGAGAGATATTCTGCTGAAGACTAGTGATGGAATGACTTTTTTGAAAATTTGCTGGAGTTATCCATGATCTGGTTACTCTTGATTGTGTCTCTAGGGACCCTAATCTCCTTTGATGGCTTTGTCTCTCTCTTTCCTTCAATATGTCTTTTTGCAATCTTGCCAAATGCACAGCCTCTTGAAGAGATTGAGGCCTATGAACCCTTACAGATTTCTCCAATTCCATTTTCAATCCAGACAAAAAAAAACTAAGAGCTAAGGATTCAGAAACAGATACCCGGGCCAATAAGGAATCAAATGCTTCTAGATATTCGATCAATTCACCTTCTTGTTTTAATCTTGAAATCTCAGCTACTGGATCATCAAAACAACTATCATCAAATCGGTATGCCACATCTTGAAGAATTTGTTCCCAAGACTTGTTCTTGAAAGACGTTTGCTGCATGTAATGGCGTTGCCACGAAAAAGCTTTTCCATCCATTGATAATAAAAGCAATCTGCCACGTTGATGAACTGGTGTGGATTCCAACTCAAAAAATTGTTCTACCTTTGCTCGCCATTCACGGAAATTTGTACCATCAAATGAAGGAAATTGGATTTGTGCTCTTTCAATCACAGATTTGGAAGAAGCACCTTCCAGGTCATCTTGAATTATGATTTTTTGCCCATCATTCCATGTCGCAAGTGAAGATACAATAGTGTCGATAGATTTCTGGAAAGAATCCAGCGTTTCTTTCGTTGAATCTTGAGCCATGAGGAATGATTTCTCAAAGGATTCCATACGCGCTTCAAGTTCCTTAACTGTCACCATTGTCCCAACGTACCGAGCTTACTGATACCAATGTCAAAATTCAAAACTCTTACTCACTCACAACTCAAACAGAGTAGTATAGAGGGAACTCACTCACAATTCATATAGAAAGAATATAGAGGAAAACTCAACTGACTGTATTTCATTTCTGCTTTCCACAATATACAATAGGTCTATTTATATTTCTAACTTCCAGCTAATTACAAAATTATTTATTTTTAATAGCTTCTAATATGTATTATTACACATTATTTCAGAAAATGACCAGATAAACTTCGGAATTTTGTGGGTTCATGTTTCTTGTGTCTTAATGACTAAGTAAACCCCTTTTATTATTTCTCTAGATATTTAGGGAATCAACTGGTACTGCTTCAGTAGACGACACAAGTTATGGAGATCCTGTACAGAAGGCAGAAGCAATGGCTTTTCGCAGAGCTTGTGCACGCCTTGGGCTGGGGCTCCACCTCTATCATGAAGATGCATCATAGTCAGGCGATTCTGGTTTTCAGGTTCACTGTTTTCATGATGGCCATCGTTTCTTTTTTCTTTTCTAGTCTATGTGATAATTTAGGTGAGATCATATAGCAACATACTACTAGAAGGAAAGCATTTTGTTGTAACTTGTAACCTAGTGGGGACCTACTAACCTTTGATCTCTGTATGTGAGGTTTGCCATATGTTTTATCTTATGAACATCTCCAATTCTCTGTATGTCATGTTCTATTACATATCTGATGTAGGACAGTAAAAATGCGTCAGAAGGTTGTTTCCATAATAGTTTATTAATTGCTAATATAGCACAGCTTAAAGGATATAATTGTCGTTGCAACAAATCTATCTGCTCTCGATTCCAATCGCAGTTTTATAGAATATGGACCGTGGGATCTAGGTCCACGTGAGATGTGTGATGGGATTAAGTGACAATTGACAAAACAAGAAAAAAGAAAATGCTTGTCATAGGTTACTGAAGGGTCAGATATTCAGCATCTATGTATAAAATTAATGGGCATGAGTTTGGTAAAACTAATTTGTAGATAAACAAGAACAAGTATGTTAAAGGGAAATAAATACATTATTCATCTACATTTAGAATAAGAACCACTTACACCTTAGCAGCAAATGGCATTGACTGGAGTGTCAACTTACGCCAGGTAGAGTACACCATTATGAAATTAGGAGCCAAAAAAGGCCAATATCAAAAATTTTGCCCCTTTCTTCTTCAATAAGAACCCTTTGAAACTTAAACTAGGTGGAAAGAATAAACATCTGTCATGTGTGTGAAGACATAACATGTACATTTTCTTCATAGGCTTTGTTTTCCAGACGTGTATGGCAAAAAAAAAAAAAAAAAAAACAGACTATTAGAAGGAGGAGAAATAATTATCTTCACTGGACGAGGTTTTTCTGGAACACATGTTTAATGATACTTATGGTGTTTCAATTTGAGTAATGGATATTGCACTCAAGTTATAAAACACGTCTTTTTAAAAAACAAAAAAAAAAACTTGTAAAAGATTGATTTGTTTTCAATTTTCATTTAATACCACCTCCAAACTTGACATTGCTATATATCTCACATAAAACAGCAATATTATAAAAAAATTCAAAGTTATTAAACAGCCCATTTCTTTATGATCAACCGCGCTTTAAACTTTATTATCAAAACATGGGTTTAAAAAATATACAAACGTCCTTTTATTAAACAAGATAGTGCAAAATCATCCTTTATTTGAACAGCGGGGGAGGTTGAAATCATCCCATATAGCATGTATGTCTCAGTTCCGTATCAAAAAAGTGGTGTGCTTTAATCCAAATATATATCCCAAACATTAATCTTAGCAAAATCATGTGACATGCGATACTAAATTATGAGTTCCACTCAGACCAAAATTGATAATGTTAATACAAACATAAAACAAATGCATAATTTCGTTCATAAACTGGCGCTAGAAAAAAATTAGATGAGTAAAATTAAAAGCTAAATTCTGGGAAACCCTAACCATCTAGTACTATATTTTAATGGCAAAATAATCTGCGTCGAAGTGGTGCAACCGTACATAACCATCTTCACCTCCACTTGAAAAACTACAAAAGAAAAAAAAAAAGTAAAGATCCATTAGAAGTAAAAGAAACAGCCTGACAGTTATTTAAAATCCTGTACCACTAATGTACATTATCGATTAAACACTATTAGATATCGAGACATAATGCCAACCAAATGTCACAAATTATATGGAGAGATACATTTGCAACATATTGTTTGAAATTACAATAGTCTCAATAAAATTGATCTATCTCTAAAAGCCTAAATATGTCAAAAGTTGTTTCTTCAAACTCATCATAAGACAATTACAGATATATAATACAGAAGAGAAAAATACATTGTTTAGCATGAATTATTTCCCTTTTAATTTAGAGGGAAAATATGATATCAACCGTAAACAAACAACATTTGGGTATTAATAATTTCATTAGTTCATGAACATTGACAATATCAGAACCAGTTCAAGTTATAAAATATTATACATTCTTCCTGTATCTAATGATATCACGATGACAACTATGTATTAACTATTGGAATCCTCATTCAAGGTTAAAGGTTAAAATTCCATGTAAATATTGATCTGTGTAACCAAATGTTGAAATTTATTTGGGACAGCTTTCATTAGCTACACAGAGGTTTTATTTTTATACCACACATATTGGGCAAATGTGTTAGTAAAACACCACATGGAAAGATATTGAGGATGCAAACCTTTTTCCATCAGGGTTAAAAGCCAATGCATTAATTGGTCCAAAATGCCCTTTCACACCCCCAATTTCTTCTTGAAGAATCTATTCAAATGAAATTAACAAATTCGAAATAAATATAAAAAGCAATAAATAGAAATTCAAAATATTATGACAGAAATCAACATAGTACAGGGAAAAAATACTTACCTTATCAAAGAATTTGGCTTCAAATTTGCCAGCACGATGATCAGTAGTTGTAACAGCTGATGCATCCTGACCACCTCCAATTACCACCTACACGCAGGGAATGGAATTCAGACAGTCATACAAGTTGCATAATACCAACTAAAAAATGAAATGAAACTAAAGCAGATATTTTGGAATAAATTTCTACAGAGGAAGAAAAGTGTACGGAATACATCTAACCAGCTTTCCTAAAATTAAAAAACCCTGAGTTCCAATCAATCAAATACAGCAGAAGGCATAATGTTAGAATGTGCAAATACATACATGATCAAGAAGAGGTGACATTGCAACTGCATTGACTGGGCGTTCTGTGACGTAGGTCTTGATAAGAGTCAATGACCTAGTATCCCAAAGTCTAGCAGACTTATCAAGAGAACCAGTAAGGAAATGTGAACCATCTGCAGACTTAGCAAGTGAAGTTACAGTCTTTTTATGGCCAGATTCCTTGTCAGACTCTTTGAGCAGTTTTCCCGTCTGCAACAAAATCAAGTAATAGTGTTAGTTAGCAAATTGAAAAGAAAAGAAGAGGGTGGTGAAATGGAAGTGAAGTGACCTCAGAATCCCAAATGCGAATAACAGCATCTTCGCCGGCACTAATAATGGTAGTGTTGAGGGGTCCCCAAATAGCTCTATTTATCCTTCCCTGAGGACCCTTAATGAGAAGCACAGATTCCCCGATCTCTGAGAAACAAAACAAACGAAGGAAGCATTATCAATAACAAGAGAAAAAGGTAAATTATAAAGAAGAAAGAGGTTACTTACGTTGGGTTGGATCGTTAGCAATGCGTTTGACATGGATTGCAGAAGGCAACTCCATAAAGGGATCAGTGGTGATAACGGCGAGCTTATCGCCGACGGAGAAATCAACGGACCTGGCGGGAGAATCGAAATTGAAGCTGTACAATTGATGCCCAGTTTGGACGTTCCATAGTTTGGCGCTCTGGTCCGCACTTCCCGTAATGAGTCGAGCCGAATCTCCTGAAATCGAAATTGGGTTGAGATTGAAATTGAAATTGAACTCGCATAAAATGAAAATGTGTTGAGAAACTTGCTTGAGACGTCGCATGACCAAACAGCGCCGTTGTGGCCGCGAAAAGTGCCCAAGCGTTCGCCGTTGTCGGCAAACCAGAGGGTGGGGTTGTGGTCCTTGGCGCAGGAGAAGAGGAGATCGCCGTCCCTGTTGTATTTGAGGAAGGAGAGTGGCCTCTCGTGACCTTTCATCAAAATTGGCCTCATCTTTCCACAATCTTAATCTTCAAAATATTAATCTCTTCAGCTTTCACAACCACCCACTCCAACCCAAGCGGCGCCGTCCACCACCGCTGCGTCTCGCCGTCTGTCTCGGATGGCACTGTATCCTCGCTTAGGGTTCACTCTTCACTTATCCATCTTTTAACCGATCTACCTTCCCGTCATATTTTTTATAATTTAGGGTTTATGTATGTTTTTTGGTGGATTTTTTAAAAATTAATAAAAAAAATGTATTAATTTTACTTTTATTTATCATGATCTTACATCTGTATTTTATATTAAATAAATATTATAATTTTGTCTCCATAAACTTATACATTGTGGTGTATAAAGTAGATCAGATACTCATAACCATTCATTTAAAATTAGTATTGTAAATGGGTTGGTTGTACGGATGACAACATGTAAATATGGGGCGGGCCTAGTTGATGGCCCAACACCTCAAAAACTGTTGGGCTGGGTCAGTCTATAGTATACCTTCTTCTTTTTTTTAAGTATATTAGGTATTTAAATTTAAAATTTATGTTATGTAGTTTTTGTCAAGACTTTAATATTCTTAAAAAAATATTAGTTTATTTTACAAACTTAATTTTCTCTTATATTAATAAAAAAATATTTTTCAAATTGAATTATAAATATAATTTAGAACATTTAACTAATTTGTCTATTTATTATATTGATTTGTAAAATAAATAATCCTTTTTTTGTTTCTTTTTTTATTTTTTTTACAGGCTGGACCATAGACCCACCAATCTATCCATCCATAGAGAAACGGACCAAGGTTTCTAATTTACTTAAATTGATTTGAAACAATGTCGATAATGGGTTAGTTTCGAGGGGAATTTAAAAATAACTTCGATGAGTTTAATAAGAAGAGAAAAAACAATTATAATATTTTTAGCAATCATTTCTTTTCTTTTTTTCTCAAAATTCATTTAAGTATACAATTTATTTTGCTAATAAAGGACAAAATTTACTTTGTTAATTTGTATGTCTTAAAACTTTGAGTTAACAAAATAGATTTGATTCAACGAGTGTTTGAGCAATCTATGAAATATGTGGTATAAGTTCGGAATAGGTTAGTTGGTAGGTGATTTTGAATAGAAAATATTAGTATTACACAAAGGGTCCCTGGGTTCATAAATATGAAGAGTGGATCTAAAAAATGAACATGAACTGGTTGAGGTGGTATTGAACCCACTAAAATTGGAAGATGTGTGGAGGCAATAATACCTAAAAAGGTTTTTGGGTTTAAGGTGTGTCTTAAAATATGGGGACCAAATTTCCCCATGCCACACTCATATTATCAGATTTTATTCCAATAAGTGGTCATCAACACGAACCATGGACCAAAAAGAACTCTACAATTATGCCATTTCTCATTTCTTCTTCATTTTGTAATTCTAGAGAGATCTATATATATATGTATATTTGTCAACTTAAAACTTATTTAATCTTATTACAATTTGAGGAAGAAGAAGAAAGTTGATGAAGATTGATAAGAGAAGTAGAAGGATGTTTTGTTATCGAGAAGAACGCAATTGTTGACTAAGTTGATGATAATAAGCGATAAAAGCAAGTCCGGTTCAATGATTAAAGTGGCATGCCGCCGACTAACATACCTAGAAGTCCTCTTTTTCTAAGAATTCAAGTCCAATTCATCAAGTTTAAGAAAACACCATTTGACAAAATAAGAATTATTATAACACATAATAAAGGTGATGAAGGAGAATGAATGAATAAGAGTTCGAATTTGGAAATTGGAAATTTATTTTCTTCTCTTAACTTGTGTTCTGCTCACTCCTCACCCTAAAGTTGGAGACAGCTACCACTACCCCACCTTTCAAATATCTTATTCATTCATTCATACTCTACACATTTCTTCTTCTCTTTACCTTTTCTTCTTCTACCCTCCCAACTTTCCTCTCCTTTTCCAACACAAACAACGCCCCACATTCTTCACTTATATCACCACATTGCCATCCATTCCCTCCATCCACCATTTTCACCCTTCATTTCTCTTTCACTGCAAACATAGCTCAGCTCCTGTGCTCCATCCACATCCACTAACTTCCTTCATATCATAACATCCAATGAATATACTAATCAACTTGATTTTCAAAGCGAACAACATGCATGCAAGCACCTTCCTGGGGATTCTTAGAATAATTAATGTCTGCAAATTCAGGGAGCAAGTAACACATGCATATCGTTATGTTCTTCTGAGTGAGGTCTACCCATTCCGATTGTTGATTACATGGGATCACATAGTTTCGGATTCTGCTGCATAAGATGAATGGTTCTGTATCTGTTTAGAGACGTCGACCCTTCCATGACGCTTTTTTTCAAAAGACTCATGCGTTTAATGTAGACGTGTGTGTGTGTGTGTGTATATATATATATATATATACCTGGACTAATTAGGTTTTGGTTGAAAGACATGCATGGTAGTGTGTAGCAGATGGAGCTAGTTCCCCATTCCAATACGCAATTCTGTAGAAGGTGGACCATGGAATCTAGGTCCATGTGAGCCGTGAGGTGGGGTTCACTCACAAATCCACCAAACATCAAACAAAAATCTTTCTCGTAGCTTATCTTTGCACCATCACAAGGTGTATGTATAATTAATGTCCATAATTTTTTTTCCCTTCTGGTAAAACTAGCCTCATGAGTTAATAACTTAATTTGAAAAATGGAATATAAAATTAGTGGATAAAGTTTTATAAAAATGGGTGTTTGACTGCAACTGTTCATCTTTAATTTATGCTACTTAATGTACTTTAATTTGTGTGATGACATACACACAAGTTGTCAGAGAGAGATGTGGTGGAGAAGCTAAAGGAATTCCCTGGCTCAGATTCAAAATATTAAATTCAATATTTTATGCCCTAAGAAAATGACTCGTTAACTTTTATCTAAAATAATTATATTTGTATTATTCATCTTCAAATATTTTTAAATATTTTCCATTAAATAAAGTTATATATGTCCATCAGATCGAGTCCATAAATCATTCTTCTAAATATTCAAATATTGTATCATATATACTTTTTAGAATGTTGTATCAAAGTATTCAAATATTCAGATTATTTTTTATTTATTTTTTCTTTCTATATATCAATTTTGTACCATGTTACAAGTTTCCAAATACTCCACTTTAAAGTATTCGAATACTCAAGCTATAAGTATTCAAATACGTGGGAAAATGTATTCAAATTAAGTGCACAAAAACCCATTCATTTATTTTTACACAACTTGCACAAAATGAAATATTCGTTTTATCTTGAGATATTAATAATTTATATCGCACTAAAATATTATAATTCGGCCTAAGTTAAAAAAAAAATGAAGGCCAGAGGATGAAAGGTGATCGTGGGCCTGTTGGTGACCATGATGCATCATCAAAGGAGTCTCTTATGATTCATTCAATGTTTCTATTCAAAGACGTGTGTTAAATTATGTGTATTATACTTTAATTATTTTATTTTAATATAAATGTAAACATTATTTTTACAATTAGGAGATATTTAATATAATTTTATAAAATCGATTTGTTATAATCGAGGTGAAATATTTTATGAGAAAAATTTTCATCATATCATTTTATCTTGAGAATAATTTTTTCATTTTCGTTACATATTTAATTTTTACAAAATATTAAAAATAATGAGATATCTCAATATTATAAAACCAATTTTATTAATTGATTCAGTTTTGTGTAAGATAAATTTATAAAAATATTTACAAAAATTAAATATATTTTTATTTTACAAATTTAATATGTGAAAGGCGTGTAAGATAATATATTATTAATCATATTTATTATTTAAGGTTAAAAATTCTAATATTTTTTAAAATACAAACACATTTCAATAATAATAATTATTATTTATTAGCTTTAAATATTTAAAAGCTCTTGTTGGCTCTCGTTATATAGTTTTAATTGACTTCATAAAACTATTGGTATACTTACTATTTTTTTATCTGTAAAGATTAAAAATATATTAAGAATTTACAACAAGATCAGGAGATTTTTAAAGCAAGGCATTTTGTTTAAGATTGTTATTATTAAAAGTGATTAGGATAATTAAAGTTTTAGTGTTGATTATCCACAATTACCCTTTTAAAAACTAGATAAGCCAGCACGCCTTATTTCAAAATTCCAACACAATCAAAACATCTGTAATGTTGTGAGGGGTCACAGTCACACACATAGAGATAGTGTGATCATCAAATATAACTTACTAACATTACGTTGTAAACAATATATATATATATATATATATATATATATATATATATATATATATATATATATATATATATATATATACGCTTTAATTATCTAATTCATCACAATCAATGAAAATAATTATTTAGTTTATAATAATCTATTTTTTCAAATTTTATACATTTTTTAATCTTTTGGTAAATGCTCCTCATGACACTCTTTTATTCATATTAACTGAAATATTTTAGTCTACAAATAAATAATATAAAAATTAGTAATTTGAGATTTGTAAAGAAAAGACATTAATTATAATTTGAGATGTATAAATAAGACTTGAGAGAATAGTGTTTAGTGATTAATTACATTTCCATTATAATTAAATTCTTGAAAATATATGAGATGGAATCTTGTTAAAACTTATAAAATATAAAACAAAATTACAAAATAACTAAAAAAGAAGAAGAAGAAAAAAACTCTTCATAGACCATGAATTGCATTTAAAACTTATTATAAAACTACTTCTGTTAAGATATATCTTCAAAGTTTCAATAAAGTGAAATACAAATTCATTTCTGATTGTTTGAATCTAAATTAACTCTACATATTAACTTGAAACATTAATTACATCAATAACATTGTTCTTCTTTTCCATACGAAGATTTCTTTTAATCTATGTTTTAAAAATTGGATGGGACCAATTAGTTTAATCGAGAAAATAAAGAATTAGTCTGAAAATCAGTGAATTATTTTTAAATAATTATATTTTAATTGACACAAAATTTTAATCAAAATAAATTTGGTAAAATTTGAAAAGCCTGGTCGGGTTTTTAGTTGAATACTAAAAAAGTTAATATCAATTTATTTATAAAAAATATAATATATTTAATTTTTTTATTTATCTAATATTAATTATATCAATTTTAAATGATAATTATTTTATTATATCATAATTTTATTTTAATTATTATCCATCTTATATTTTTAAATATATTTTCCATTATAATTTATATAATAATTTTTTTATAAAAAATATTATTATTAATAATCTTATTATATTATAAAAATATTATTTTATTAAATTCAAATCTAATTAAATTTTTAAATCCATCACCCACCAATCTGACTTTAAAAACATTACTTTTAACTCTTACATGAGTTGAATTGTTTAAAAGAGATGATTTTTGTAATATATTTTTTCATACATAAATTAAAACTTGGAAAGGTGTGTAAGGAAACGAAATTTTAACATAAGTCAATAAATGTCGGGAATTAAATATTCACTTATGAAGAAAATAATAATCTTTTACATTTTGGAACAATAAAAGCTTTTTGTAAATAAAATATAAATAATCCAACGTGGAAAAGCAAGGTACACGCCTGTTTTGTGAATAACAGACCGCCATTGGACAGTTGACCGTTGACTTCCCTCCAAAAACTGTTGGCGCCATTTTCCGTTCCGTTTTGAGGGAGTGCGGTCCAAAATGGAGTAGCTGGTAGAGGGGTAAGTTGGTAATTAAGGAAAAATATGAGGGTAATCATGCACCCACACCACACCTCATGTCTCCTCAAAATAATAGAAAGTGCAAAGACGAAGGAACATAATAATAGTTGCTGCATCATCCACTCCCACGCCCCCATGATTGCGCGTGGACACAAACCCTCTAAATAATCATAAGCGCGTCGATTACACACCTCATCATCCGGTTCGCTCAGGCTCCAAACCCGGTCTACCTCTCTCGTCGGACCACTCCCTTTGGAATAAAAATTTGTGTAAAATGGGTTAATAGGTGATGATAAATTATAAAGGAACTCCTAAATTTACGAACATATATAAATGAAATTAAATGCATGGGAAATAATTAATACAATGATAAATAAAATTAAATGCTATATGAGGTAATGGTTGGGATGGGATGACATGGAACCAGAAGAACTGTGGTTGGTCCGGTTTGAGATTTGAGATTCTTAGAAAAATTGAAAATTGAATAATGGAAGCAGGTGGGGGCTGCTCTGTATATAATTCATGTCCTTATTATGTGAGGCCTTTCCTCTTTTTCCAACTTTTGCTTTCTCTTCCCTCCCAATTTTCTCTCTCTATCTCTTATTTTTTTTATCTCTGACCTAATTGTCTCTCTTCTCTTCTCATCTCTTCAATATCACCACTCATATCCACCAAGCACCACCACCCACAACCTAGAGAACATCCCTCTAAATTTAGCGGGTATTTCTGGTTTTCTCCTGCCCCATCACCTAGATCTGTCTCTCTATACACTCATTGTTTGACAAAAGCACAAAATAACACTGGGAAGTTTTGTCATAGCTGAGCTGACTCTAGCTAGAGGATAATAAGATTAAGATCATCCTCCACAACAAGAGAGAGGATTTAAGTGTTTTCCATTGCTTCTCTGGATCCGCAAAATTCAACATGACTCCAGTTAATTTGGCAGGCCAGTTCGGTGACACCACATACACTAAGGTCTTTGTTGGAGGCTTGGCCTGGGAGACTCAAAAGGAGACCATGAAGAAGTATTTTGAGCAATTTGGTGAGATCTTGGAGGCTGTTGTCATCACTGACAAAGCCACTGGAAGATCTAAAGGCTATGGATTTGTATGTTCATCTTCTCTCTATCTCTTTCGTTTCTATACCATTATTATACAGCTCCATAAGTTCTAGTATTCTATACTTGAGTTCTTATATACATATATATGTATGTATATATGTCAGTAGTCACCTAGATCTCAAGTCTAAATGAAGCAATATACGATATTAAATGTTCTCTTTCACAAGGAAAACTGGTCTCCCGTTGCGCGAGCAGCTGGTTTTGTGAATTTTATCATCCTTAGTTTTCATATTTGTGCTGACTATGATCGAGTTGGTGTTTATTATTTCCATTTCAGGTTACATTTCGCGAACCGGAAGCTGCCATGAGAGCTTGTGTGGATGCTGCTCCTGTAATTGACGGTAGGAGAGCTAACTGCAACCTTGCTTCTTTGGGTGTCCAGAGATCTAAACCTTCAACCCCAAAGCATGGTCCGTATATATAAATCTATATTTGTTCTTCTCTATCTTTTGTTTATTCAGCGTAATTTCATCATCTAATAATCCCATCTGATCTGAGTTCTTATCTGAATTAAGGTCTCAAAGCATGATGTATAAGATCTCACATAAGTTCCATAAAATCTTCTCCTTTTAGTCTGTCACTGTGAAAGATGCTAGCTAGCTCTCACATTTCTTATCAACGTACCCCACGTTCAAGCTCGTTAATGTATATTCCTCCCGAAAATTATTAGTGTGTTTGAGTGAAATCCAAGTCATGATATATATATATATATATATATATATATATATATATATATATATATATATATATATATATATTGTGTGTGTGTGTGTGTGTGTGTGTGTGTGTGTGTGTGTGTGGATGAATGTCGAAATATTCTTTGATAAAAATGGAAGACAACACAGCTAAATGGCAGCTAAGATTGAATATTCTTCCAGAGTGGAAAGTTCCATTATGTTTTTATCCAAGTGAGTTTTATTTCATGTATATTTTTGGGAAACAAATGGAAGAAATGTCCCTGAGAAGCATGGAACCAAAGCAGTACGTCCACTGCATTTATTCCGTTTAGTTATTTTTCACTCATGTTTTTTTGCACCGAAATACATCCTACTGTACTATACTATATATATATATATACACACATGTTCTTGTATATACATATAAATATATGAGTGAAGCAAATGTTTGTTTTGTTGATGATGAAAGACGCATATTTTATCTTAAATCTAGAAATGAATAATAAAAGAGTGTAAGGTTGTGTTGTAATGATGATTAAGATTGGTGTAACGATAATGGCAGGAGGCGGAGGGAGGAACTTTAGAGTAATGGGTTCTTTCCAGACAGGATTTGGCGGGGGAGTGGGATCGGCTTTTCCTTCAGCAGCAACCTTCCCTCATTATGCCATCCAGCAAGGGATACCTTACAATGTTTATGGGTATGAATATGCTTTTACTCTTTTATACATGCTACTCCTCTTTCTCTCTCTCTCCTCTACAGTTGTACTATTAAGGTGGGATCATGGCACGTGCAGTGCCAACTCATTCACAACAAAACCTCCCAAACATATTTTTACTAGCCTTATCACTAACTGCTAAACCAACCCTGCCTTGTCACCCACTTCATCTGTGTTCTTTTCACACCATCAACCTGCACATGATACCTTTAGGCTAGAGAGAGAGAGAGAGAGAGAGAGAGAGAGAGAGAGAGAGGTTTTTCGTCAACCTTCTCTCTCTCATGTGCGAGGGCAAAGAAAAAGGACCATGCACATCTGTAAATACTCTTTGACGTCCTTTGACCTTTTATCTGTAACTGTTCAGATTTAATGTACGCGTTTAATTTGACGAAGGTGGAGTACTAGCTGGTGCATGTATACTTCACATGCACCAAGGCTCCACAAGCTCCAATTCATGCACCATCTTCTTCTTGTCTGCACTAGTCTGTCTCATGCATTTTACTTCTTTCACATTCTAACCCTTTCTCTTTCCTTATTCTTTCATCACTACTTTCAGGTACTCTCCTTACTCGCCGGATTACACTTACCCTACGGTTTGTACATTTTTTACTTTCACTTTTACCTTTTTTTTCCTTTTTCTACTCTATGTCTTTTACTTAGGATGCGTTTTCAAGCATTGCTTTTACGACACAGTACCTTTTCAACTTGAAATCAAACTATTTCCGCTCTTTTTTCTCTCTCTTTCTATTGCATTTAAATATATTAGGTTTCTAAAATTAATAATCGTCTTGATTAATCTCCCAAATCCTACAAAATAATATTCTCCGATTTTTTTCTCTTTATTATCGTTAGGTTATCAATTACTAATCATTCATTCCTATTTAGTAGGAAGACAGTTGCAAGTTGCAATGTTGAACAACTTTTATTAAATTGCTCGGAAGAAATCTCTGATAAAGAGCCTGAGCTATGAATCATGTTTCATCGCATTAAACTGAAATTTGGAAAATTTCCAATATTTGTATCGAAAATATAATAAATCATGCATAATCATATATATAAATTCATTAGCCTTTTGTAAAATGCATGTGTAATATTGAGAAAGTTATTTTTTTTATGAAGTAAAAGAATTAATATTTACAATTACCTTTTTTATAAATAATCAAAATTAAAACGCATAAGTAGTACAATAAATTTAAATAATCCGTGGTTATAAGAAATCAAAATAATTTTTTTGAGTATTAGTTCCATAAATGCATGCATAGATAAGCAAAGAGTTTCACTATACGGGGTAGAGTGGTAATTGCATTAGAGTTTCACCATTTATATGCGGATGGATTTTATCTTGGAAAACACATAATTGTACCCTACAGAATGTGGAGATGAACATGGTAAGTCGGTGGCATATGCACTGTTTGTAAAAATGATTCCCTTCCTTGGGACAAGCAAACGAGCAATGAGTGAGTGAGGCTTAGTCAAAGTGTTGTCTGTCCTGTCTTTTCTCCGCCAATATTTTCTTTTTCTCAAGAGGGTGAAAGTGAAACCGGGGGATTGTGGTCCATTTCTGAGTCATACTCATTCATACTTTCACAGTCTTCTAAATTCAAGTGCTTCTGCACTGTGCACTGCACAGCCAAGTTTTTTTAATAAAAAAGCATGCGGTTGCTGGTGCTAGTGGTAGTGGTCCACCTTTTAAGCTTAAACAAATAAACAAATGATTAAAGTAATTAAAGTGTTGTTAGCTATTATTGAATGACGTGAAAAATGGAAAATGTGATGCATGGTGCAGAGCTACTATGGTGTGTACGGAGGAGCGACAGCTCAGTACCCGGTTTATGGAAGTGGGCCAGGAGGGATGATGACGGGTGCTGCAGCGTTTTACCCGTATCTGCAGTACGGCGGAGAAGGGAGTGGCGGTGGTGGCACAAGCGGTGGGTATAGTTCCGGGCAGGGTTATGGTGTGAACTATCCCCCTCACCTCTTTCAGTATTCTCCGATTGCTTCCACTGCAGCAGGTGCCTATGGGCAACACTATGGAACACCCATGTCTCTTGCTCCTTCCCCAGCCTTGCAATCAGGTTTGGTTTCTGCTCCTTTTCTTTCACACCCATTCCCATTCCCAGTGAATGATTAATGAGGCGCTAACATCTTTGACAGTGTGTTTCGCTGTGCCGCAGGCGTGACCATGCCTCTTCAAGCTCCAATTCCTCATCGCTAGAGACTCATCTCAAACTAGCTATGTCAAAACTTCCCAGTTGCTTCTTGAAGTCTCTCATCATTATCATATCATCATCAACATCAACCTTTGCCCTAACCATGGTGCTCTCTCTCACACACACCCACTCTTTCACTAACACAATGCAAAGTCCATCAATGGCATTTGGGCTTTTCCAGCATATATAAGAAGCCCTCCGTAGGGGCTAAAATGTTCCTCCACATTTGGAGAGTCATGCATTCCTTTTTCTCAAAAAAATGTTGCATCTTGAATCAAGGGTTCCTTCAAGAGAACCACCGAACCAACACAAGCTGGCCATCGGAAATGGCTAGCTGACTTGTTGGAAAAAAAAAAAAAAAACAAGAATAGCAAAGCTTGGCCCTGGAAAGGCCAAGCCCAAAAGAACCATCTTCTTAGCTTAGGCCCAAGGCGGGCTAAGTAGAAGTGCAGAATGGTTTGAAAAATTGTAAATGGGAGATCACAGATAGGTAGCTCATCAACTAGAAATCAAGTTAGTTCTGCAAAAATAGGTATTCCCTCCAATCAATCACTGCTAATCACCTCTGGATGAAGAGGAAGTTTTAGCAATCCTGGACATTGGATGTCCCAGCTTTTTTGTATGGTAACATCTAGCTAGTCTTAGGCTTTATGTTAGGATCAGTCATGTCTTCATAAATATGTTTTATCAACTTCATTTCAATTTTCACAAAAAAGGGTTTTAACCAACCAACCAATTGACAATCTTCCCTTTGGGTAAGGGGAGGCAATATCTAACCACTGTTTTTTCTTTTTCTTTTTTCCTGTAAATTCAATGAGGCTAAACTATGGAGTTTGAGCCGAATCCACTAATCCTTAGGAGGGATAGTGTTTTATTTTCCCACTTAGCATAAGTAGTACATGTCATCATCATGTTGAGAACCACATCAATGGATGCGGAACTCAAAACACTTGCATGTAACCCTGGGAGATATTTTGGTTCCCTTGGGTACTTCACTTACTCACCAACCATGGTTAGGACATAGGTGAATCTCATCACTCTCTGTCTCTCTCTCTTCTCCCTGCTTTTCTATCTGCCATGCCAACTTTTACATCTGAGATGGACCTTGATACTCTATTAATTATATGTTTAAGCCTATATGGTTTGGATTGTAATTAGGAATACTAAAGTAGGAGAGGATTTACTTCTCTATCCATGCTGGATGAGAATGAATTTGCTACTCATTTCTACTATGCCATTAATTTGATACTATGCTTGCTTCTATTCAACCTATGTCATGATAAGCAAATCATCAAGTTAATGCTTCCAGCCACGTTCAACTTTTTTTGCTATATCTCAATTAAAGATACTTTATTTGTTGTATGGCTAGCTCTGATTTCTTCTAAATGTGAGGTTTACACATAGGTCTTATTTATTAAATCTTGTTGATGTATTCGACTTCAACCTGAAAATTAGTTTTTTTTTTTATTATTATTATTAATTCACTACACACCATAAAGAAACTCTTCTCTTTTCTATTATAGATCCATGCTTTAGAGCGTCAGAAGTTTAGAAAGAATAATTTAATCTTAAGAATAAGTGTGTTATTATTTTAAATTAATTAAATGAATAGTAGGATAGAAACTCATTCAATCATTTTTATATCAAATTGTTGAAATTTAATAGTTCTAATGTTGTATATTTGAAATGGTACTTAATACCCATCACGTAATACTTTCTTCGACACCGCTTGAATAGGTGAATTGCATGTCAATTCCACTGAATAAGGTTCATGGAACTTGTAAAAGGTTAGTGTGTTAAAAGAGATTCGAAGGTGTGTTGCTTTGTTAACACATTATTGTGTTGTGGTAGTAGGTATTTATTCATATTCACGAATATTTGCAAAAAAAAAGTTCATCGCAAGTTATGAGAGATTTATTTTTACTTGTGGACAATATTTTGTCCGCACTCATTTATTAGATCTAGGAAAAGAGTAATGAGATGTATTAATTTGTAGTAAAATGTTTCTCAATCAAGTCTATAGATGTTAATTTTTTTTATAATATTTATACACACCATAAGAATAACACAATGCGCTAAAAGATAAAATATTAGTTGCAATTATGGATCATTCAGTTTTTTTTTTTTTTTTTATATGTTTTTGAAATTCTGTAAATCTCTTCAAGTTTATTTAGGGAAAGATTCCAAGATGGCGCATAAAAATGGGAAGATGATTTTCCCGGGAGTGTCTGACTGTGGTATCGCTATAGATCATTAAACTTAATTATTACGTTTCAGATATTATTTATTTGAGATATTATTTATTTTAAAATTTTAATTTGTATTTTCATTAGAGATTATAAAAAGATAAAAATATTCCACTCTTATATTTCTTATGATAAAATTAATTATTACGTTTAAGATATTATTTGATTTAAAATTTTAATTTATCATAATTTTATTTTAAAAAAATATTTAAATAAAATAAAAAATAGAATATATATAAATTATTCTATTTAAGAATATGTTATCATTAAAATACATATTAATAGGTTGGGAGATCAAGATATATATAAATAATCTTTAATATTAATTAATACTCGTGTACTGAATATATATATATATATATATATATATATATATATATATATATATACAAAAAAAAATTGTTTTACAGTCTATTACAAGTGAAGAAGATTAAAAAAAATAAAAAAATCACAAGATCATAAATAAACGTGGATGTTGGAAGAAACTGAGCTAGAATTGATGAAGAAACAAATAAATGGAAGGAGGGAGAAACTCAAATCGAATAAAGATTGAAACATAATTATAATAATTATTGAAAATAGAGAAGAGAAAAACATGAGAAAGTGAGATTTTAAACTTGAAATTTTAATTGAAATATATAGATATAGATATAGATTCTTGTCTACTGAATTCTTATCTTTGTTTGGTATTTTTCTTTTTTTCAAAGTTCTCAGTTATATAATAATTTATTACTATTATTATTATTATTATTAAAATTCAAATTATGTTTATTTATTTATTTTTAAAATATTTTATGTTTACCATTCCTATATAATTAATGTAGTTATATTTATTTCTTAAAACCGTTGAATTAGTTTACTATTAGTATGGTTTACATTTATTTTAATGTTATTTTTATTTACTTTACATTTATTTGAAAATATAATATTAATTTACACATTTTTATAATTATAAATATTAATGAAATTTTCATTATTAATTTTAATTTGTTTTTAATTCTTTAAATATTTATTGTAGTATAACTTTTCTGATATAAATAGGTAATAACAACATTATTATTTGAAAGCGGCGAAGGCCTGCGTTTATACTACTGGCATAGGCATGTTGTGTAGTGTGTCATTGACAAAGCACGTAGAGATAATAGGGATTTACCAAATAATAATAACGGCATAATGGATTTCATCATTTTCGGAGAATCCAACAAATGTTGTCTTGTTTTTCCCTTTCTTGCTCTGTACTGTACTGTAATCTAACGTAAATATTCTGCCGTCCCCTTAGCCTTAGGCCTTTAAAATTATCATCTTGATCATCTTTTCTTTTCTACTCTTATCTCTTAATTACTTTCTCAGCCATGATTTTGGCTATGCATTTAGTGACAAAGTTACTACAAACCTCTTATGCTGCATGTTTAATTTAGTTTCACAATGCTACTAGATGTTACGGTTTTCCATTCTTTATTTCCAATTTAATTTTTTATCAAATTGAAGGCGATGAATTCAGTCAAACGTTCCTTTGCCCTCTTTAAATGCAGGAACCAGATATTGAGAATCCATACTTCTATTGCCTTCTAAGATCTGGTGGTGAGGTTTGAACACTCAATTGGAATATACATGTGAGACCCTGTCCTCGATTTCTACTTTCTAGATTGGAGTGGTATTTCAAGTATTTTTAAACCTTTTTGTGTGTGACCTTATTCTATTTTATGGGAGTCTTCTGTTTTTTCTCAGAAATGTTCTGGTCTAAGTCCAAGATAGGGGAAGAGTATGTCTTGATAGACTTAGCTTGAATGTCCTGTTTGTTAAAAATTACATGGACAGTCTGGGTTCATAAGGACTCAACTTCCGGAATACATACATTTTTTTTTACATTTCTGAAAACCATTTCCAAAATTTACATTAGTGCTGAAAGAAACATCCTATTCATAATTTCTTATTTATGTGCTATCAAGGCAAGCCTTGTGTTCTCCACCAATATAATTATGTTTCGTCTATATATATCAGATATTGGTGGAACCACCATACCTTAGAGCTTTGTCTCAGATATGTCTGACGAGGTTGTGCAGTTGTCACTAGAGAATTCAGAAGTCTTGGGATTCAAGGAAGATTCTTCTGAACATTCTCCATCTAAAAGGTGGTTAAAAACCAGCAAAATTGCTCCATTTATACAACTGGATATTCAATCTGAGTTGATTGAACAAACTAATCCAAAACATATTGGATATGGCCATAATCCCCAGACTCCTGAAGCTAATGAAAAACATCAGGCCTTACAACCACATGTAATAACCAATACAGAAAAGACATATTCTGTCACCAGAAGAAAAGAAAAGCTATCGAGTGTTCTACTTCCACTATCTGCAGCTTCATATTACAGTGGAGTATCACCAGAAATGGAAATTGTTGAGTCATGTCAAATAATTGACGAGCTGAATGCATATTTGAAAGCAAGAAAGGATGATGTCAATGCTGGTGTACCAGGCAAATTCTTACATGCTGTAATGGGTTCAGATGGTGCCGGTAATTTCTTATTTTTTAGCTTCTGTAGTATAGAACACAAAATGTTAACATGCATTGAAATCTTGTGAAATGAATCCATGATTTTTCTAATCATCATTGTTTTCTTGAAGAATATATTCTAAAGCTCATCTTTGATTCACACTTTAGACGAACTGTTTACAGACGTGGGAACTGTGGCTTCAATCATCACATACTCCTTCTACCTAAATGTAACTTCAGAGAGCGATCAATTCTGCACAGTACCAATTATTAACATTAACCGAACAAATCTTAGTTCGCATGTTGAACTCAAGTGGTTGCTTGATTCATGTCATATTAATCAGTCATCCTTAATTTTTGCAGATGAGGTTAGTTCAACGAGACTGCTATAACTTAAAAAAAAAAAAATTGCTGTTTACATTAAATTAGTCATGTTATTTACTTTTGGGATAAACCAAAGATATTATTAAGCCTGGGAGGGAATAAGAAATGCTCACTAAGCATAAAACACCAAAACAATACAATTCCAAAGACCAAATAGAAAGGAATACAAAGCCCATCCAAGTGTTCTAGACACCCCCCAAAACAGAACCAATAAAATGCAGTACGGCGACTAATGTACAGTCACACACGACATTGGCAATTTGTACTTCTCACCAACTATTTCTGGCATTCCCATGATCTTTCTCAAAATTTGTAGGACAATTGAATGAAACTATATTGAGTAAATCAGGCCATGCGCCTTCATTACAAACCTTAACCTCACAATAACATCTAATTAAAAGGCCTTTGGAATGTGTCCACTCCAAATGAATGCTTAATCATTTGACTAAATTTCAACAGATTGATTTGTCATACTATGATCTATTTGGAAGTCTTAAGATCGTACTGTTGAAGGGCAGCAGGATTGCCAGTAAGCAAGAGGTAACAAATTATGCATTCAACACACTGCTCAGATCTGGTTATAATTGTATAAAATGATTGATATTTTGTTCTTTTGAAAGCAGAAATTTAAGAATGCTGTGGTTGAAAATTTTCACTGCAGAAAGGTTAATTTACCTTGCCTTGTTTGTCCATTTTATACACGCTTCTTTTAAGCATTTAAGAACTAATGCACACCATCCATGAAATTTATTTCTCAGGGTGAGACAATATATCCATGGGTTAAAACTGTCACCGCAGGAGAGGTGGGCCTTAAATTCCCCAGACATTTTCAGTGATCTCTCTCTACGATTATTTTTGGTTCTCATAGTTTACCTTAATTTGCTTTGATCTTTTTTAAAAGTTCAAGATGTAGGTCCTTGTAATTTTGCAACCTTAAATTTTGATGATTTGATCTTTATCATTTTATTCTGTTTCAGGTTTAATCCGTATAGTTCTATTTTGTTTAGTTTTTACTTGGTTTACTTTGTTTAGGTTTTACTCCCTCTAGTATAAATAAACTAGCTCAAAATGGTTACACCTTTCAAGTTAGGTGTTTTCACATATTACCAGTAACTGGGCCAAAATCAAAGTTTTAAAAACAATTGTAACCAATAAGTTAACCTCTCAAAGAACAGAAACCAAAATCAAAATGGAAGTAAACTATGGAGAGAAAAAAATGATTTAAGCGTTTAAACAAGTCTCTTGTGCTGCCTTATATGTTTATTCTATGGTCTGATAAGTTCATGATATATGATATTATGTCAATTTGTTTTGTTATGGTTCCCATTTCGACTGCCGTAATGAATAAAAAATTTACCCTGTTTATCATCATCGTCAGCTTGAAATTTGAATTTCCCTGAGTATAAACTCCCTTCGGTATAAGAGATTGACATTAGAAAAAAATGCTCAATCGCTAAAAAATGCTCTACACTTCAAATATTTACACAGAACTGCAAGAATTTTTCAAGTAAATGATGCTACCTAAAAAAGCTCTCACGCATGAGTATAATCTTTTCATCATCTCTTTAGAGATATGGACTTGAAGTATTAACACTTCTGAACAAGTGTTAGTAGAAGATTTGTTTATCCTGTGAACTGATGTTGAATGATATAGAAGAATAAGTTGTTTCTTCCATTGCTACAGGAAAGCTCTTGTTGCACTGCCATAGCAGACAAATTTGTGAGTTATTCGCCTGGAATTTTGGCTAGCAAATCATTCAGTAAACTTCTGGTACTCAAAACTCGTAGCTCTAAAAATTTTGACTTGCCTCTTTTTTCCTTTAACTAAATGTATGACACTGGAGCAATTGCTAAGATACCTCCTCTATTTCTCATAAGCCATTCACATCATTTAGATTTTGCACTGGACTAGAAACTGAGAAATATGTCATAGTACAAAAATTTACCCCTTTTCAGTGACAGTCACTACAGTTCCTGTTAGATGGAGAGCGTGCGAGAAAATTTGTCATAATCAGTACTTGTTTTGAATTTTTTTACCTTCTGGTCCAACTTGTTACTATAGAAAATGAAATCCCGTGACTGAATGAATTTACCATGTAGGCTATTGCCTTTTTGGTGTAGAACTTGTCTTCTCTGATATTTTAATGTGATTTCTAAGATCATGGAAACTTTTTTTTTTATTGAGAAAGAAAGAAAAGAAGGTTCATGCAATTATAAGAGTGTTATTCTCTACTGGGTGTTTTTCCTGATTTCAGACTTGCTAGCATGACTCATGCCGATTTTAATGGTGTGGACACAAGCCACGCTATTCTGTGACTCATGTCTACCGAAAAACAAATTGAACTTTTGTCTTATCTTTGATGCTTGCAGCTAGCTGGCATTCTTTTGGATACTGCGAATCTAAGGGACCCTGGCTGCACCTCTAAAGATAAGTACACGGCTTCATTATTGATCAATGGTGCTGGTCGTTATGGGTGCAATGGCCTTTACCAATTATGTATGCCCCCACACCATTTTCTATCAATTTAATCTTGTAGCACATGCAAATTTCGATGTTCACATGTGATTGCTATTGAGTTTTCTTGTTTTTTTAATATGTTTAGATGCTGCATACATTACATATAGCTATGACATACAAGTTTTCAACTTGATCATATATACGTGGTATTGCGCATATTTTGTATCTGATAGTTGTATATCTGGTTTACTTATGTCTGTTGAAGTGTTTGCAATTTACAGTGAAGTACAAAATGCATGACCTTTCCTCCCTCCAAGTAGCAGATATCTTGAGAAAGGATTTTAAAAAGTGGATAGGACAAGGTATTGACTTTTATTTATATATGTAAACGTGAACTTGACCTATCATTTCCATTTCATAAATGAGTGAAACTAAATGACATTACTTTGCTTCTCTTTCTGCTATATGTCGGCAGTGTAGATCCAATTATGCACCAATTTGATATGAAATATTTCATTTTCACCTATGTGCCCCACCTTGCCACCGAAGTTTTTAATTCACATGATTGATTACATTATGATTATTGAAATCACAAAAAAAAAAAGTGAATTTAAACCTGCAATTTAAAATGTTAATGAGATAATACGTCATGGATTAACTGAAGAATACATATATTACTGTATTCTCGTTGTTATTAATGTTTGATTATATTTCCAAACACTTCTTATATATATATTTTGGTTGTCGTATATGTTTATACGGGAGATATGATACGTTGAATTTGACACAACATGGGATGATGAAAATATTATATCTTGAAAAGTCCCACATCATATTGAATAAACAATGGAGTGGGTGACAATAGTTATATAATGGACTTAAAGTTCATAAGGTTTCTCATCTTAGTTAAAGACACTTTAAACTTGTATTTAACTTTTCTTATATTCTTGTAACATAGTGTTGTGAAGTTTAGTTTAAATTTTTACTTTAGAGAATGTGAGTGTACTTGGGGTCAAGGGCATGAGAGAGTTGGCTTTAAATTTTTACTTTAGAGAATGTGGGTGTACTTTGGGTCAAGGGTATGAGAGAGTTGTCTATATATTGTAAAAATTTTCACATTGTGTTATTTTTTGGTTATCATTAGATAACAATCATGATTTTTTTTTTTTTGAGTTTTCATGTTATATTCTTGGGGATAAATGGTAATGTTCTTTATGACATTTTTTCTATTAGAGTGATATCAGAGCTTATGGTTTAGTAGGATTTTTCTTAATATGTTTTGTGGTTGCAACTTAGTCTGATCTTCCACAAAAATTAATTTCTTATTTTTAGAGAATCATTCTTGGTTGCTGAAGTTGCAATGTCATTTGCAATTGCTATCAAATGTGACATAGAGAAATTTGATGGAATGATCCATTTTGGCTTGTGGCAAAACATAGAGAAATTTGATGAAACAATCCATTTTGGCTTGTGGCAAACTCAAGTTAAAGATGTGTTGATACAATCTAGATTACACAAGACGTCTCTCATGTTAGGAGAGGGTGATATCTTTTAAAAAGATGAGTTAAGTATCCTCATGGCATAACCGCATTATCATGAAAAATGGCGAGTTTTTGCTAGCGTAAGGGTATTGGCTAATATTGATGCAAGGTGTGTGGTGATTATACACGGTGTTGGTTAGCAGTGATGTAGGTGTGCAGTGAAAGGTGTGTAAGGGCATTAGCTAATATTGATGCAAGATGTGTAGTGATTATACAAAGCGTTAGTTAGCAGTGATGCAGGTGTATAATGAAAGGTGTGTAACGACATTGACTAATATTGATGCAAGGTGTGTGGTGATTATACACGGACGTTGGTTAGTATTGATGCGTGTGCAGTGAAAGAAAATTTTTAGAATAATTTAATTTCAAATGAGTATACTCTTTATGGTGGAGTATGGATAATTACTGGTGTAGACAATGAAGATAAAAAGAAAGATGTGTTTATTTTTGTTAAGATTCCAACATAAAACCAATTGGCAATATGTGGAGTAGCCTAACATGTATTTAAACCATACCAAATGATATGAGGTAGGCGATATGGGACTTTCAACACACCCCCTCCAACGAAGCCTGCCGGACCAGGCAAAGGGTACTTTTGACCCAACTAAAGGGCAACTTTTGGCCCATGACAATAACCGGAAAGATGTTAGGCTTTGGCTCTGATACCATGTTAAGATTCCAACATAAAACCAATTGGCAATATGTGGAGTAGTCTAACATGTATTTAAACCATACCAAATGATATGAGGTAGGCGATGTGGGACTTTCAATAATTTTAATCATGATGAAGATTGTTGGGTTAATGAAAATATTACATCTTGAAAAGTCTCATCATATCATATTGTATAAGTAATGAAGTGAGTGATAATAACTATATTTCTCACCCGATTTTGTTTATACTCTTGTAATTGATTGTTGTGAAGTTTAGTGTAAATTTTTGCTTCGGACAGTTTGGAAGTAATTAGGGCGAAAGACACGAGAGTGTTGGCTAGGTGTTAATGTTCTTTTATGATGTTTTTTTCATAGTAAAAATGTATTTTTGTTGAAATAAGCAGAAAGTGGAGATTCAAGGTCAATGCAAATTGGCATGAGCTGTATCGGAATTTCAATCGAACAACTTGTTTCTCGCGCAGAAAATCTTGCACAAGAAATAGCACACTTCCACTGTCAGTATTACATAAAACCTTCCATTTGGTTTCACAAATACAACGCATTTCTTACTTTTATTTTGATTGTGCTTCAGTGTCTGAGAAACTTCGAGCACTTATCGTCGTTTCGGGGTATTACAACGATCAAAAGAACTTCAAGGTTTGTGCCTAACTTTCTTTGCCTAATCAAATTCTGAATTAACTTATAACATTTATTATCAGAATCTTATGATATGTACCCAACAGAGAGAAGTTTTGATATGTACCGAATCTACGAAGCTATTGGAGAGTCTGCTCTTTTTCTTCGATTTCAATGCTTCTCGGCTTCCACTCAAAACTCTGCACTTTCCAGGTTCTTTTTACCTTTCCTTCCAAAATTTAGACATCCATGTTATGCTTGTTAAAGTTTAAGAACGAGACTGGCCTCATGGCTGAAAATATTGTTAAGATCGATTAATATGTGTAAGGTACTGTCCGGTATAAAATTTTAGTCCTTTAGCATTTTTGTCTTTAAAATGTGTTCTTCTAGTGAGTTTGATGTCCATTTTTAGGGGACACTTATGAGTGTGTATTGAAATATAATTCCTAAATCAAGGATTAAAAGATAGGATTGAACTGAAACTTTCTTTTTAATCTTATTATAGACGTCAATAATTTTGTTTTGAAATAAGAATATCCTATATATCATATATATTGTTAAGTTCAATTATCATACTCATTTTTATTCTTAAAAAATTTGGGATAATTGAATCTTCTCAGTTTTTTAAATTAATTGTTTTTATCTTTAAATATTAAAGAAATTTAGTGATTTGATAAAATATTTTTATGTGGGTGGCAGGTATGAAGAATGAGATGAAAGCGTACGAGATTGATAAGGTTACATCCAGAAAAATAGTAGAAAATCTCATACAAGAGTTCGTTGGAATACCAAAAAGCTAGCTACCAAATTCCTTTGTAACAAAACTAAATTCTCTACATTATGTGACATTCTTCGTTTATATTACATTGTAAACAGAACTCAAAAGAGAAAATGATCTTATACTATGTATCTTGGGAGGACTAGGAATTCTGTGAAAAGCCACTGTCTTTTACTAGTACAATTTTTAACATCGAAGCATGTTTCTGTTTTCCTCAATTATTTGTTTGATATAATTTCCAAAGAAAATATGTTTTTGTTATTAAAAACATTGTAGAATAACATTTATTTTCTTACTTTCTAGAAATATTCTTTCAAGAAATGACCGACAGTTTTCCTCTTATCCAAACCCTCGTCAAGACACTCACGGCTGTTCTGTCCATAGATGACAAAAATTATTAAACAATATATTGTTTTTCGTACTCGTTGATAATCCATTTCCAGCTAGCTTTCACTTTGCTTGATTCATAATTGTCACGTTTAAAAATTGATGGATAAATCTGTCAGCCCAATCCATGAGAAGTGCATAAAATGCCAGAAAGTATCACAAATATCTATATGCTTAATACAGATCAATTGATAATAAGTATATTATTGCATAAATTAGATTTATCCATATTATAACATGTTAATTATTAATGGATTTAGTTCATATAAACAGAATTTTCTCAAGTATTTTTGTTTATATAAGGTAAAAGCTTCTTCTGTTTAGTATTTGGTTAGTATTATTCAGTATGTATATACGTGGAAGCTGGATGATTATTGATGATTGAGTAATATCTATAGGAATTGATTCGTGAAAAAAGATGCTATTGATGCAGTGGAATGAAAAAAGAGGAAGAGTGAGAAATGGCTGATGAGGGAAATAGTGGATGGGAAAATGGGTGTGTACTTGTGTGTTCTTTATAGTGGTCCATCCATTCCACTAGTAGCGGATGGATGAAAGGATGGAAGGTGGAACAAGTCCAAATCAGTGTGAGAGAGAATAGCACCTTCTAATGCCAATCTCCAAAGCATTTTTGCCCCACACCAAACCAAATCAAACCTCAATCACTGGTTCACTCCTTCACATTATGAAATAGTGTCAAACATAAGCTACCCTTTTTCTGTTTTGCTTTTACTCTTTTAGCATATTTCAATTTCTAGGCAAACGCTATATGTTCCTGGAAACTGTTCTGTTTCTGTCTGTGTCTCTCAGTTTCACACCAACACACGCCACTTCCAAGAGCTAGTGCTAGTGCTAGTGCTCACTCTCTCCTGTCTCACTCTCTAATATCTCCAATTCTGCCCCACTACCAATTTCTTCACTCTTGCACGCACTTCTTCATCTTTTGGAAACTTCCGATGCAATACCAATACACTATGGAACTGTCAATATCCTTTTGTTCTCAACTCTGTGTCCATGCATTTTCCAACACATCCCACTAATACAACAATCTTTCTACTACTTACTACCCACAAAACAACACTCTGTTTTTCCTCTCATTTTGGAGAAGAGAAGACAGACTCCAGAGATCCAGCACAGTTGATATACGTCCATTCAAAATCAGGTATCAGATCCTTTTTCAAGCAAGGCTTAAAAATCCTTGCTACTCAATCGAAATTTCTTTTTCTTCCAATCTTTTTTATTCACTTTCTTGTTCTACTCTTATGTTTTGAGTTTGGAATTGGAAAAAGAGCACAGACAGGGTGTTTCTTCATGTTGAAGTAGTAAGTTGTGATAGTTACAATTTAAACCTATTCCAATTGAAAAGCTATTTTTCTATCTTGTGAGTATTACCTTGTGATTGATTAGTTATTCCGCCACTGAAAATAAATAGAAAAAATTTCAGTTTCATTCTGATGTCCATGGCAGGGTTGTTAGTAATAGTAACTCATGATTAGAAAAGAAGAACTAAAGTTGCTATAATTAATTATGTGTGCTTTGCTTTCAGAGCAAATTAGATTAGAACCTCTTTTGTGCCAAATTTACGAATGAGTGACTTCAAAGCATTATCCCTTTCTTCAATTCTTTGATTAGAATCATAGTAATGACAGGGCAATAATGCTCTACAGATACAAACAAAATTGACCTTCCAACGTCACGTTTTTTAGCACTCTGACATCACCATGCTGCTTTTCCTTTGCATTGTTTATTAATGTATAGCTTGTTTATAATTTAATGTCAGTGCATGATTTTGTTCCCTGATCAACTGTTTCCAGGATGGTCCCTGCAATAATGGTTTATTGATCACCCAAAATCGAATATCATCCACCTTGCTGGCATTCCAATGATTCTATTTCTCTTCTGAACTGACAATTTTGCCCCTGAATCTTGTCCTAATGGCCAAGAGTCCCTGTCTCTTAAACTTTTTCCAGTTCTTGGCAATGCTCTTTCTCACCTCCTACTCTATTTTCCCGCCTTGTGAGTCTCTGACGTTGGAAACCCAAGCTCTTCTTCAGTTCAGGAACCATTTGAAGGACTCCTTGAATTCTTTAGCTTCCTGGAATGAATCAGACTCTCCATGTGAGTTTTATGGAATTACATGTGATCTAGTTTCTGGGAGAGTCACAGAAATCTCACTGGACAATAAGTCCCTCTCTGGTGTCATTTTCCCATCACTCTCAGTTTTACAGAGCCTGCAAGTTCTCTCACTACCATCCAATTTAATTTCCGAAAAGCTTCCATCAGATATAAGCAGGTGGACCAGCCTCAGAGTGTTGAATCTAACAGGAAATAAATTGGTTGGAGCAATCCCAGACTTGTCTGGGCTAAGAAACCTGCAAATTCTTGACCTTTCAGCAAACTACTTTTCTGGCAGCATCCCCAGCTGGTTGGGGAATCTAACTGGACTGGTTTCACTGTGTCTTGGGGAAAATGAATACAATGAAGGTGAGATTCCAGGGAATCTTGGAAACCTGAAGAACTTGACCTGGCTCTATCTTGGGGGCTCCCGTTTGATAGGAGAGATTCCAGAATCACTGTATGAATTGAAGGCATTAGAGATACTGGATATGTCAAGAAACAAGATCTCTGGAAGACTCTCCGGATCAATTTCCAAGTTACATAATCTTAACAAGATTGAGCTCTTCTCAAATAATTTGACAGGAGAGGTTCCAGCAGAGCTTGCAAACCTCACCAATCTGCAGGAGATTGACCTTTCTGTAAACAACATGTATGGTAGGTTGCCAGAGGAAATTGGGCACATGAAGAACTTGGTTGTTTTTCAATTATATGAAAACAGATTTTCCGGAGAACTTCCTGCAGGATTTGCGGATATGCGCCATCTCATTGGGTTCTCAATATATAGAAACAACTTCACCGGAACGATTCCAGAAAATTTTGGCCGGTTTTCACCACTTGAAAGTATTGACATATCTGAGAATCAATTTTCAGGCGATTTCCCGAAGTTCTTGTGTGAAAGAAGTAAGTTGAGGTTTTTGCTTGCATTACAAAACAATTTCTCAGGGACTTTTCCGGAGTCTTATGTAACATGTAAATCTCTGGAGAGATTTAGGATCAGTATGAACCAGTTATCTGGGAAAATTCCAGATGAGGTTTGGGCACTTCCCTACGTAAAAATAATTGACTTGGCCTATAATGATTTCAGTGGTGTGGTTCCTTCTGAAATTGGATTGTCTACCAGCTTAAGTCAGATAGTTTTGACAAAGAACAGGTTTTCAGGTATGCTGCCCCCAGAGCTTGGCAAGCTGGTGAACTTGGAGAAGCTTTACTTGAGCAACAATAATTTCTCTGGTGAAATACCTCCTGAAATTGGATCTCTGAAACAGTTATCCTCTTTGCATCTAGAAGTGAATTCCTTAACTGGTTCAATACCAGCAGAAGTGGGTCATTGTGAAAGGCTGGTGGACTTGAATCTTGCTCGGAATTCTCTGTCTGGAAATATCCCTCAGTCAGTTTCACTTATGAGCTCATTGAACTCTCTTAACATATCTGGAAACAAGCTTACAGGTTCTATTCCAGATAATTTGGAAGCAATAAAGTTAAGCTCGGTGGATTTTTCTGAAAACCTGTTTTCTGGAAGAATTCCATCTGGTCTTTTTATTGTTGGAGGAGAGAAAGCTTTTCTTGGAAACAAGGGGCTGTGTGTTGAGGGAAACCTAAAACCATCCATGAATTCTGATTTGAAGATTTGTGCCAAAAATCATGGTCAGCCAAGGATCTCTGCTGATAAATTTGTCTTTCTCTTTCTCATTGCTTCAATTTTTGTTGTTATCTTAGCTGGGTTGCTGCTTTTGAGTTGTAGAAGCCTCAAGAATGGTGCAGAAAAAAACTTGCAACGTCAGAAGGAAGTATGTCAAAAATGGAAACTTGCATCTTTCCACCAAGTAGATATCGATGCCGATGAAATATGTAATCTGGATGAAGATAATTTGATAGGTAGTGGTGGTACAGGAAAGGTTTATCGAGTGGAGTTGCGAAAAAATAGAGCCATGGTGGCTGTCAAGCATCTAGGGAAAATAGATGGTGTGAAAATATTAGCTGCAGAGATGGAGATTTTGGGGAAAATTAGACATAGAAATATACTTAAACTCTATGCTTCTTTACTTAAAGGAGGATCCAATCTTTTAGTGTTTGAGTACATGCCAAATGGTAATCTTTTTCAAGCTCTTCACGGACAGATAAAAGATGGGAAGCCAGACTTGGATTGGAAACAGAGGTATAAAATTGCTCTGGGAGCTGCCAAAGGAATTGCTTACTTACACCATGACTGTAACCCGCCCATTATTCATAGGGATATAAAATCCAGCAACATTTTGCTTGACGAGGATTATGAGCCAAAAATTGCTGATTTTGGTATTGCAAGGTTTGTAGAAAAATCTGATAAGCAGTTGGGTTATAGCTGTCTAGCTGGCACACTTGGTTATATTGCTCCAGGTAAGTTTGCAGATGCTTTTTCCCAACGCGAAATTTCAGTTTAATGTTCATGTTTCAGTGTACTTGTTGTCATTGAGTGGTTGATGAGGTGAATTTCTGTGATTGAATAAAGCCTCTTGAGCAAAATTATCGTGTCAGTTCCAACTTTCGATCACTTCTCAGTTCTTGTGTCTCTGAGATTAGCAGAGCAGTTATAGGTGTGTTTTAATTTTAACAAACAAATGACCTAGTCATCTTAATAACTGTAAGTCAAAGGTTTCCGTTTCCCCTACACGACAGATAATGTGAAATGTTGAGTTTTTTGTTTGGCATATGCTTCCTATCTATGCATGTGTGAATATGCTATATATAGCATATGGTTAATGGTTAATTATGTATTGCTTTCTTCTTCTGTGCAGAACTTGCTTATGCCACTGATATCACTGAAAAGAGTGATGTTTATAGCTTTGGAGTGGTGCTGTTAGAATTAGTGTCTGGAAGAGAACCCATTGAAGAGGATTATGGAGAGGCGAAGGATATTGTTTATTGGGTTTTGACTCATCTGAATGACCGTGAAAGTATTGTCAACATTCTTGATGAAAGGGTGGCATCTGAGTGTGTTGAAGATATGATTAAAGTGTTGAAGATTGGCATTAAGTGCACCACTAAGCTTCCATCTGTGCGCCCCACCATGAGAGAGGTTGTTAAGATGCTAATTGATGCAGAACCTTGTGCATTGAAATCTCCAAAATCATGACAAGGACACCAAGGCCCTTCTCTGATGGGTTTGTTTTCAGAGCTAATGTAATTGTAACGTGAATCCTTGCAACTTCCACTCAATTATGTTACCCAACTTTGTAGCACTTTCGTAACCTAGCCGACATACATTTATATGATAATTATGTCATCCTAAAAGTTTTCCTACCATCCCCTTTTTTGCTATTTTAGTGCTTTGCGTGTTTAGGTATCTTGTGTATACTGTCCAAGCTCTTTTTACTTTTTCCTTTTCTTTTTAACTATATTTTTTTCATTATTTGCCAGAAACATCTCTACTTTTAAAACTCCAATCTTTTGATTCAAATATTTTGACCCACTTTATACCACTGGTTCCGATTGTTGCTGGAGTTGTTGGTACACCGTTTTTTAAGAAAAAAACCTCAAGTTTGAAACATAAAAACGTTTTGCTCTGCTTCCCATTTCTTCTATCTACCAAAGCTACCGAAAATTGGTTCCTTTTGAGACGTGAGTTTGTTAAAATAAATGGAAACAGTCTAGACACACAACATGTCAACGATAAATCTGAAGATTCAAGTTGAAAAGTACAATATTTTGGTTGGTTCGGAGATCTTAAGACTAGCTACTGGTCTCCTATTTCAAAATTTTCCCTCTGTTTGACTTTGTCCAAACGAAACATTGACCCCTAGAAGCGAGTAATGGTTAAAAAAAGAAAATGAAAAAGAGGGACGTGAACCATGTTTTTTTGCTTAAAAAATGCGCATTGATCGAACTGATTCATTACACGGTGTAATTTATTTTCCTTGCTGGTTGGTACAGAATAGAATTATGAATGGATGATATACACTTCTTGCGTCATCAGTTACAAATTATTACAAAATAAAACAAAAAATTGGACCAGGTTAGTGTATTTGACTCGTCTGGTGCGAGGCGTGGCGTCGAAATTAGTTTGGAAAGATGAAGAAAGAAAAGTGGTGCAATATACAAAAGTTGACTGTTTCAGAAAGGAAAGGAAATAGGAAATAGCTATTGAGAAGAGTGAGTGGTGGACCTGGAGAGTATTGGTTGGGCTAAACATGCAGCCAATGCTCTTTCCAAGTTATTTACAACTTGGGACATGGTTGGTCTGTCTCGACCTTCCAGCCTGACGCAATCTGCTGCCAAATAACCCACAAACGCCACGGCCTCTATCTCAAAAGGCGTGGGAGGGGGCACTCTTTTGTCCAACACTCTGTGAATCTCATCTTGAACAATGAATGGAACCACAAAATCAACCACATTTCTTGGCACCCCATTCTCGTTTTTATGAATGGCCTTGTAGCCAGAGAGCAACTCTAGCAAAACCACGCCGAAGCTGTAGACGTCACTCTTGGGGGTCAAATGTTGAAGCCTGTAGTATTCAGGGTCCATGTAGCCAACAGTGCCAGCGGCCAGAAGTGAAAGGTGGGCCTCCTCATCTTCAGGGTCAGGTCCCATTAGGGAGAGTCCAAAATCAGAGACCTTGGCAGTCCACTTGGCATCCAATAATATGTTGGCAGACTTGATGTCACGGTGGATGACTGGTGGAGTGGCGTATTGGTGCAAGTACTCCACGCCTCTGGCAGCATCCAGAGCCACCTTGATGCGCACCGGCCATGACATGAGAGCTGAAGTTTGGAGCTTGTGGAGATGGTCACTCAGGCTCCCATTGTCCATGTACTCGTACACCAAAATGCGTTCTTTAGTGTCTTCATAGAACCCCACCAAGCGGACCAGGTTCTTGTGGTGGAGTCTGGACAGAGATTCAAGCTCGTTCACGAACGCATTGTCTTTGTCCAACTGGGCACCCAAGACAGTGTAGGTGGAGGATGAGGCTTCGGCTCTTTTTATAGCCACCTCCTTCCCGTCCTCCAAAATCGCATGATACACCGAACCGAAGCTGCCAATCCCAATTCTGTTGTCCTCGCAGAAGCTGTTGGTGATTCGAAGCAGTGTGTCGAGGGAAAACTCCTCCAACGGGCTCCCATTTCCCATGCTGATCACGTGGCTCAAACGCTTCTGAAGAACCCGGGATCCAGCTTCAGCTTGAGGCTGTGATTGAGAGTGGGATGACCCGTCCAACCGGCCAGAGTCATGGACACGGCTTCCTCCGCGTTTAGAGTTGCAATACCTGTGAAGGAAGAAAGCCATGACTAGCAACAGGGAACTGCAACCCACACAACCAACAACTAGGAATGCGACCATTTGTCTGCTCCAACCAGTGTGGTTTGATGATGGTGGTGGAGGTGGAGATGAAGATTGAACCACTTCAGGGGAACAGGGTTGGCAAATTACGGCAGGAGAGTGACATAGTTTGGCAGAGTCGGGCAAGGGCCCACACGGGCACTGGTTCCTACAAGGTCCTGGGAGAACATCGTCAAACACCTTGCTGTCTGACTCAAAAAATTGAGAACCCCAACAGAGCAAAGAATAATTGGCAGACACGACTCCGCAGAAAACACTTTGTTTTGCCACAATTGACTCAAAAAAAGTGTCTCGCAAAGTGTGTGGGATGATGAAATTATTGGACCCCCAACAGACAACTCTTCTGTCGTGCCCAAGTGCACAGCTCCGGTTCTCTCCCAACGCCAAAGAAACGAACCTCCCTTGGGGTGTCTCACCCTCCATGTCTCCCCAGCAAAGCAAACTACCATTCCTGGAGAGGACACAGGCATGCCTAAACCCAGCTGCGAGAAAAGTGTAATTCCCACCAGGCGCAGGGACACCAACAACAACTCTGCTACTATTAACCCTCCCCGTGCCCGTACAATTTACATCCCCCCTCGGCGATAATCCACACACAAAATTCTCTCCCACGGCAATGCTCGACATTGACATGTTCCTCACACTCCCACTGCTCGAATTGAAGTCATGCCATTGCCAGCACTGAAGCTGAAGGCTACTGTCATTATTTACAAGACCGCAAACGTGGGAGTTGCTACTGTCAATATCTTGGAGAAGGGGTCCATTGTAGATGCGTCTATAGGGAACATTGGTAGCATTGGCAGAAAATCTCCAACAGCCCATCACGGAGATAGAAGAAGATGATGGCCCTAAAGCGCACACAAACCCGTTGCCGCCCACAATCTGAGAGTAGGAAACATTTGGATTCGCATCAAGTCTAATAGCCTGAGTCTGAGACCGAGGAAAGGTGGTACAGTTGAGATTTGATTGTCCTTGTTGATTTGGACCTTGCAAGACACAAATAAATGTTTGGTTGTTGGAATTGGAAGGTTGAGAAATGGAAACAGTGGAGAGTGTGTTTATAGGTGGAAGACAAAAGAGGAAAAGGAAGAGGTAGCAGAAGAAAGAGCGATTAAGGAGTAAAGCTGCCATGGAGTTGTAAAAGAATTCACTACTCTCATGGTGAAGTGATTAGTTATTAGAGAAGAAAGATGAGAAGAGGATTTTATGAGAATGAGAATGGAAATTGGGAAACGCGGTTTCACAGAATTAGTGACCAAGTCTTCATGTCTCCACTCTGACTCTCTCCTCTCACGTTGAGTATTTTTCTTTACTCGGTCGCCAAATAAAAGAGATTATAAGAAACATGTATTTTTAAATTCAACACCACCAGTTTTATAAAGAAAAGTCATCAAATCAAATTTCAACCATCTCAGTGCTATTATTATAATGTTTTTTATAAAATATTTAAAATGAACAATACATTTTTTTTATTTACATATTTAAAATATTTGATCTTTCGAAGAACTAATTAGCATAAATAAGTAAGAGTGCGGTATTTCCATGTGTTTCTTTAAAGGAAGATAAGAGAAGGAGATTCATTTAAAAAATATTTTATTTATTTATTTATTTTGAACCAAAGCAAAGCAAAAGCTAACATGAAGACATAGTGAACAGAGAGATTATTAAAAAGAGATGCAAATTATTATTATATACCTGAAAGTCAAATGATATAAAGATTGGTGAAGAATATAAACCATAAAAATGTATTGTCTAATTTAAAATGTGAATTAGTGAAGTTTAGGATTTGAAAATGCCTAACTGCTCCAACCACACCCTACAAACCATTTATAGATACTAAAACAACGCCACTCTCTCTATAACCAAAAAAGTTTATATTGTTTTTAAAAAGTTAGTGATTGACTATTATAAGTTAAAAAAAGAAATGTTAATGATATTTCTATCTACTCATATCAAACTTTAGCTTTAATTTCACTTTATAGATTAGTTGAACTTTTAAGTATCCTTATAATAATTAGATGTACTTATTTTATTGTCAATTACATAGTATAATCTAAATTATATTCAATTTTATTTAATTATATTTTAAATTAATAAAATCTGAATCAAATTAAAAAAAAAATCATATCTTACAAATTCTGTTTTTATGAGTTTTATTACTATTAAATTGCAATTTTTTTTAAAATAACATTTTATGATAAAAAATTATTAAATAAAGAAATATGTTTTAAATTTTATATAATTATTATATTCATAATTTCAACTTTATATTATATTAATAAATAAATTATATAACCCTATAACATAAATTTACTTTCATATTTTAATACAATCATATCGCAAAATAATTTATAAAATTATGTACTTTTCAATACATATAATATAACATTAAATTTAAATATAATAAATGGTTTGATTCTAATTGATTTTCAGTTCTTAAATCAAATTTCATTTTATTTTCTATCGATTTAATTTTATAAATTGTATTCACCACATCTTATCAAAATCTCTTATCTTATTATGTTTTTCTCCTATTGAACGCGTCTTCTAAGAAGTAAAGTTGAATATTTCAGAGAAAAAAAATTGTATAGAATAAAACTGATTTTTAAAAATAAAGAACTAAAATAAAAATAGATATTTTTCAGAGGTTAAACACCATCAATCCTATAAATGAATACCACATACCGACCAAGCGGTAGCAGGAACCAACACACAATAATTAACAAATCCTCAATTACAAGCAAGACATTACATAAAAACGATTTTATGGTGATCATTTTCTCTTAAAAATGAGCTTGGAAAATATTCTGCCCACTACACTGACACAGGGCCTCATTCATGGTCCAAACCAATCATCGCACCGCTTTCTACATTGAGGGATATAAAGCCGTGAGATAAGCTTCAGGAGAAATTGAATGAAGATTCTTATGGGTAAATAACTTAAAATCCACTATCACCAGCAGTGCACCATGCTATACCAAAATGTCAAAAGATGGCGTTCTATGCTACAACAGATCCTGAAGCAGCCTTCCTTTTCTCTACAAGACTTGTCAGTACACTATCAATTTGTGCAAATACTTCCTCCTTTGAGACATTTCCATCAATCTGAAGATAAAAAAAAAAAGCACCTTAGCTGGGCTTCACCCAATTATATGGAGCAGAACCTGTCCAAGCTATTTTTCTTTCCCACATCTTAGCTTTTGCGTTAGTAGAATCTTATTGGAGACAAAATAAACTGACAGAAACCAGGCACTAAAAACACTAGAAGGAGCACAACATTCAAGCTTGACCCAATTAAGCAATAAACACCAATCAACCAATGTAAATGTTCCATCGTCTGAATACATCAAATGTTTTATATCATTAATTGTAGTTTAATTCAAAACATACGAAGTCCATTTTTTTTCATACTGAGGAGATACAGTGGCATCTCAAGAACAAGGTATGCACTTGTGGATATCCATGTTTTATACTGTGGAGGAAGGATAATCCATTTACATTGGTACAAAAATGATAAATAGGTAAATGCTTTATAAATGATGTCCACTCCATAGATGTTGAACATGATTGCTTGTGTCATGTGTCTAGTGTTGAATAAGCATGTGTGCAGATGTAAGAGAGAGAGAGAGATTACAGAGCATACCTTAACAGTTATATCTTTATACAAGGAAAGGACTGACTCCACATTTTGATGATGGGTGTTCAACCGCAACTTCACCTAAGTCAAGCAAACAACAATGGTAAAGAACATTCAGTAGCAAACAATTATAAGTCTCTAGTCTCTAGAAGTGAGTGTAGGCATAGAAGCATCGTCTAAAAAAAGAATTGAGATCTTTCCGGAATGAACAGATTAGGGATATATTCATGCCTTTTCTTCAGTATCATCGAAGCGTTGGGTAAGCCTTGCAGCTATTTCTTCTGTCTCTGGAGGAGAATACTTCAAGTGATATATCTTCCCGGTAACAGGATCTAATCTCCGTCCAACTACTCTCTCCACCAGCACATCTTCAGAAACCTGCAAATTCAAAAGTAAACGATAATAAAAGCTACTTTGACTTTTTTGCATTTAAGACCAGCAGCTTTTGGTTTTTATAACAGCAATACAGGGGTCTCCGGCAATTGCAAGGTCTCATATCATGACCATAGATGTTACATCATTGACGGATTTGTTAGGTACATGGCAAAGCCAAAGCTGTACAGGGTCAGTCCTGAACTCCAGATGCAAGGTTTTTCTAATACCATCCAACTAATTTAAATAACAAAATGGGTAATGAAAGATAGATATATTTGAGGAAAACAACAAATGTTTACCTCTAGAAGAAGAAAAGTATGAGGCTCAAACCCAAATCCCTTAAGTGCAGTGGCCTGAGATAAGCTCCTGGGATAACCATCCAAAAGCCAACCATTTTCTTTAGAATCTGGTTTCAAGAGACGATCCTTGACCATCTATAGCATTAAAAAAAAAAATTAAGAGAGAGAGAGAGAGAGAGGTGAGAAGAAGAATGAATTGAAGGGAAATGGCATGATTAGGTTACATACCATGACAACAATTTCGTCAGGGACCAACTGTCCCTTCTCCATGTATTCTTTGGCTCGCTTTCCATTTTCACTTCCGGTGGCAATTTCTGCCCTAAGTAAATCTCCAGCAGCAATATGCACCAAACCGTACTGCCGTATAGAATATAGATGAATCGAATAAAAATGCATAGTTGAGAAGAATTCAGTAATTGAAGGAAACGAAGAGTAGAAAGAGAAAGGAAGGAACCTTGTTGGCGATGAGGTGGCACTGGGTTCCTTTACCAGAAGCGGGAGCACCAGAAATCATAACATTCAGCGCTTCATTGGTCACAGTCTGTATTGGTATAACGGTGAATTGAGAATGGAATTAAATAGAAAGAAAGAATGATGAAAGTGAAATTGAAGATACGAACCAGAGAATGGGAATGGATGGTGTGTGAAGCGAGAGGGGGTCGAAAGTCACCGCAAGAGAAAGAAGAATGATGACGTGGGCGACGGCGATGGTGATGGGGAAAATAGCAAAACCCAGCCTCCTTCCTGTGGCCTTCACTTGGACTGGGGAACCAAAGTGATGCGCCAGCCGTGTGCAAATTCATCATGCAACCCATCTCTCTCTCTATCTCTCACTCTCCGCTTCTTTCGCCCATTTCCATTTCGATATCCTCCTTCCTTCCTCTTATATATGATCGTGGAAAACTTTCCTTCTTCTTATACGTATGTTATATATATATATAAAATTAATATTTCAACCTTTGAAATATATAATTTATTTTTATGTTTAAAATTAATATTAAATAATAATTTTTTATCATTACAAAAATTAACAAATAATTAAATTCATAAATTATATATGATTTTAATTATATATATATATATATATATATATATTTCAAATTAATATTTAATGAATATTTTACAACCACAAAATTAAATTAATTTTTTATTAATACCTGGTAATTAATTTATCAAATTTTAAGATATAAAAATTAAAATTAAATTTTAAAAAATATGTTGAAAAAAAAACATTATTTTCAAAATGGAGGAAATTTGGAAAGTTTAACTACATAATAATGATGATAATAATAGAAAGTAATAATAATAGCAACCTTCATATTTAAAATTTATAATTTTAATTCTGTTATCTAGGTCATTGTTTTCAAACAAGTCTAAAAGTTTTAACCAATTAAAAATAGGGAGAAAACAAGAAGTTGATAAACCAATTTTTTAAAATCCATAATTATTGCATTTTAGGTAATTGAACTCAAATTCATTCTGATGAATTTTCCAGAGCACGACAAAAGGTAACTTTATTTGACCGGCACATATTCCATTTTATCTCATTAACCGATAAAACCACCCAAACTACGCAATACTTCAAATCAAAATGCGTTTTACAGATGTTTTCGATGGATTAGCATATTGAGGTCTCAGGTATTTTTGTATTTGTAGCTTTTTCCATGTGAATCACTTGTTGGATTCGACGAAGATATAAAGTATCATTATTTTGTTTGTGTGGATAACTAGATAGGAACAAAACATAATCTCTTGCTATAATGTATTTTGTGATAGCACCTACAACTATTATATATTATAGACATATTTTATGAAAATCAACCTTAAGTTTTGAAAGAATAAATAAACTGTTTTTTTAATATGTTAAAAAGTAGTTTTAATATGTTAAAATTACTTAAAATAAGAAATGAATATTGATTAAGCAGTAAAATCAACATATTAAAATGTTCTTGATTATTTTTTCATTAAGAGTTTCATAGTATTAATATGTTAAATTGATAAATTAATAGATTAAAATGTTCTAAGTCATAATTCATGTTTTGAGTATCTCAGATTTTTAATATGTTAAAACAAGTTTTAATATGTTAAAATAGAAAGCTACCATTTTTTCTTTTAGTATTTTTAATCCATTAAAAGCTCGAATTAACCGATTAAAATAATTTTAAGTGAAATTAATCGATTAAAACATCATTTTAATCGATTAAAACTGTCAGCTTTTTTCTTTTACTCTATAAATACATTTTTTATTTCTCTTTTTAAAAAAACAATTTTGAAAATCGATTAAAGCAATCTTTAAGTTTTCATATTCGTGTGTGTTTTTTTTTAGCATTCATACACATTCATATTATAAGGCGCTTTGATCAAGATTGTTGGAAGATCTTCAAGAGAGAAAGTTTTGTGTTAGGAAATTTGCTTCGAACTTCGTATTACAAAAACTACTGTCCAGGTTTATCTTTTCCAATACTTTGTACGAATTTTGATTATGTAGATTATGTTTGAATCTGCACCTGGATACTAGGTTTAGTTGCTGGGTGATTTTCAAGAGTCTATCTTGTGGTGTTATAAGGTAGATCTTGGGGTAAATGGGTTTGTATCTACTGGTTTGTATTTTCACTTGGTTTTAGTGGAACTTGACAGGTTTGTCAAGAACTGGATGTAGCTCTTGAAAAGAGTGAACCAGTATAAAAACTCTTGTGTTGTATTTCTGTATTTCTCTCTTTTCATTTATGTTTTATATTCTTTCTTTGTTAAAAATCGAATATGCCTAATAAAAGATTGAATAAAGATTAATCATTCTTCCACAAAGAAAGCATTTTTCAAAATGGTTTCAAAGTTCAGTTCACTCCCCTCTTGAACTCAACCATTAATTCTTACAATTGGTATTAGAGCTGGTTCTTGTAAGTTACTTAAGAATTCGGTCCAAGAAAGTTTAAATGGCTAAGGGAAAGATGACTTTTTCTGAAGGGGCTTCCATAAACATGCCTCCTCTATTTTGTGGTGTGAATGATCCCTTATGGAAGGTTAGAATGAAAATCTTTATTGAATCTCTTGATAGGGGTATTTGGGATACAATTATTAATGGTCCTTTCAAACCAACTCATATAGTGGATGGTAAAACTATTGAAAAAAACTGAGTTGACTTAACTGATGCAGAAAATAGGAGAGTTCAATATGACTATATTGCTAAGAACATTATTACCTCTGCCTTAAATCTTGATGAGTTTTTCAGGGTTTCTCAATGCATCTTTGCCAAAGAAATGTGGGAGATTTTATAAGTTACTCACGAAGGTACCTCTGATGTGAAAAGGGCAAGGAAGCATGAATTAATCAGAGATTATGAATTGTTCAAGATGCAGCAAGGTGAAACCATTGCAGATGTGCAGAAAAGATTCACACATATAGTCAACCACCTCATTGGACTAGGCAAGACGTTTGACAAGGAAGAGTTAAACATCAAGATCCTAAAATGTTTGGATAGATCTTGACAACCAAAAGTGACAGCCATATCAGAGTCAAAAGACTCAACTGAGATAAATACTGCCTCACTGTTTGCTAAGCAAGGGAACACGAGTTGGAGATCAACAGGTTTAAAGAATAAGAAAATGCAGAAAAGAAAAGCAGAAACATTGTTCTTAAGACAATTGAAGAAAGTAGTGATTCTGATGAAGAAGGATCTGTGAATCTTTATTTGCTAGTTAAGAAGTTTGGGAAATTTCTTAAGAAGAAGAACAAAATTGGCCAGATTAAAACGTACAATGATGAAAGGACTGACTCCCTTCAAAATACTTATACTTGTTATTCTTGTGGTAAGCAGGGACATATAAGAAGTGACTGTCTAGAAAAATCCAAGAGTCAAAACAAGAAAGACATGAGGTATAAAGGGAAGAAGGCCTATATAGCCTAGCAAGACAATGATTCATCCTCAAGTTCTGGATCTAAAAGTGAAGAAGTGAATCTATGCTTAATGGCTGGCTATGAATCTTCTTCATCTCGTGTAAGTTCAACTCCCACAGAGAATGAAATGAATTACAACACATTATTAACTGCTTTCAATGAAATGCATCATGAAGCTAAGAATTTATCCTATACAAATAATTAGTTAAAAGGACTAAATAACTGGTTAGAAAATAGGGTTAAAGTTCTGGAAGAAGAATTATTAGAATGCAAAACAGATATGGAACATCTTGAAATGATCTACAATAATTCATCTTATGATAATGTTGTTGCTAACAAAGATTGTGAAAAGTGTATCTCTCTGCAGAAAAAGGTTGAGTATTTGATTAAAACTTTATCTAAGTTTACTCAAGGTAAAACAAATTTACATGCACTTCTTGGGTCTCAAAATTGTGTTTTAGATCATACTGGTATTGGTTATAAATCTGAGTTTGGGGTTAAAACCAAAAGGTATTTGAATTTCTTCTCTTTCAGAAAATCAACATCATCACCCTTCTCATCTGTAGACCCCAAATCTTGTCCGGCCTCAAAATAAAGAGCAGAAGACCTCTAATTCGAAGATGGACGAGTCCTAAAAGGTCCTTAGAATAGACTATTAGGTCTCATATTAGAGTAGGAAGCCTTTTTGTACGAAAAAATAAGGATTTTCACCTGAAGGGTCGAGACCGCCGTCTCGCCATTAGCAAGGTCGAGACTACCGTCTCGTTTGGCGAGAGGGTCGTCTTGCCACTTGCTGTGGCGAGACCGCCTTCCCGTTTGGCGAGACGACCCTCTCGCCACTTGCAAAATCGATACCGCCGTCCCGAATGGCGAGACGGTCGTCTCGTCATTTTCCAAAGGCGAGATCGCCGTCTCGATTGGCGAGATGGCGGTCTCGACCTGACAGGCGCAAATCCCTATAAAAGGGGGGGCGCTCTCCCCATAATTTCACACAGTTCTTCCACCTTTCCTTCTAATATTTCTTAAAATTCTTATCCTAGAGCCCCTCTGAAGCATTTCTGGAGTTTTCTGAGTGTTCTTAGAGAGTTTTTATAGCGTTGCGAGAGAGAAAAGTCAACGTTGTAGAGCGAAGGACTGCCAAAACGTGTCCTATTTTTTAAGAAGAATTAATCAAAGCTTGCTCCAGATGTTTCTTCACTCTCTCCCTCTCTTTTATCGCTTTGTCATTTATATGTGCATTAGCTATTAAGGTCATGTAGTCATTATCTTTTAATTTCGCAAATAAAAGGGTAAAAGTGTCATTTTAAAGTTTGTTTATGAAATAACCGGTCTATCATAGGGAGCCCGAAAAGGGTGTTGTGGGGGTGTTAATATCTTCCCCACACGTAACTAACTCATTTACCCAACTCTGGTTATAATGGTCAAAGTTGGTTTTTCTTAAAAACCAACGCCTTCTTTTTTTCCTTTTCCGATATTTTTGGTAAAAACGTCGATGGCGACTCCATAAGAACCCTCTTCGAAAACCTTGTTTTTAGGTTCAGCCCGGTTATCGGACAACCTAAAAGCTCCCTTTCGAAAACCTCGTCCTTGGGTCTAGCCCGGTTATCGGACAACCTAAAGGTGTTGTAAAACCACCCATCCAAAATGCGAAAACGGAAGTTGGAACCATCGTGTCACTCCGACCGCCTCTTTTGACGGCGACGACATCATCTTGTCACTATTGTATGAAAAAAGGGCATACTGTAAAATTCTGTCATATTAGAAAACATCTTGTGCCACAAGGAAAAATGAGATGGGTTCCAAAATATGTCAAACAGAAAACTTGACCATTAAGGACCCAAATTATTTAAGGGTACCAAATACTTTATGCTTGATTTTTTAGGAACACCAGCAAGAATCTTTTTGGTACTTGGACAGTGGC